GACTGTTTTTCTTCCATTTACGTGTCATGATTAGAGATTAGATTAGAGTGTATTACCTGAAGAACTGAGTAAAGTAAAAGAAAATACTTGAACTAAACACAGAGGCAACTAAATCTGAGGAAGAATGAGAGTAAATGTAATGCAGCCTTCAAATGAACAGGCACGTATAAATACGCTTAAAAAGATACAAAGCCTCTTTTTTACTCTGCTCATCTTTTATCATCTAAAGAATAACAACAGAGCAGCAGAACTAGGTACTTTCATGCTTTAGAGGGTTTTAATCCAATTTACTTTAAAGCACCCTTAACTGCTTTAACAACGCTATACTTCACTTTTTTTTGTTTGGATGTGTGTGTGTGTGTGTGTGTGTGTGTGTGTGTGCGTGTGTGTGTGTGTGTGTGTGATGAGTAGGTTTAGGGGTTGGGTTTATGTGTGTGTGTGTGTGTGTGATGGGTAGGTTTAGGGGTTGGGTGTGTGTGTGTGTGTGTGTGTGTGTGTGTGTGTGTGTGTGTGTGTGTGTGTGTGTGTGTGTGTGTGTGTGTGTGTGTGTGTGTGTGTGTGTGTGTGTGTGTGATGGGTAGGTTTAGGGGTTGGGTTTATGTGTGTGTGTGTGTGTGATGAGTAGGTTTAGGGGTTGGGTTTATGTGTGTGTGTGTGTGTGTGTGTGTGTGTGATGGGTAGGTTTAGGGGTTGGGTTTATGTGTGTGTGTGTGTGTGTGTGTGATGAGTAGGTTTAGGGGAGAGAATATACAGTTTGTACAGTATAAAAATCATTACATCTATGGAGAGTCCCCACAAAGATAGTGGACCAGACATGAGTGAGTGTGTGTGTGTGTGTGTGTGTGTGTGGTTCAGGTAAACCATATGAAAATTTAAAAAATGCAGAAAGTTTTCTGTGATGGGTAGGTTTAGAAATAAAAAAATGAAAATAATAAATAAAATAAAATAATAAATAAATCAAATTAATTTGAAAAAAATTAAATAAATAAATTAAATAAAATGACTATATTTAACATGAAAAATACAGAAAAAACAATAAGATGTACATAAATGTGTAAACTACACTAGTCTACAGCAGAATAAAATCCATATAGCCGCATCTAAGAAGTGTACAGAAGTGTATAGAAAAGAAAATATGCTGTAATGAAATGACTAGACTAGCCAATAATAGAGTCGAGTGCAGCACCTGAGCTCTGATCTGACGGCGGTTCAGGATCTGTGGCGGCACTGGACTGCTGAATATCCTCCTGACTGGACAGATGAGCCGAGTGGATGGATAAAGACTCTTTCTTCTTCTCCTCCTCCACACAGTCCACGACCAGCACCTCGTTCATGGACTCTTTCTCCTTCTCCTTCTCCTTCTCCTTCTCCTTCTCCTTCTCCTTCTCCTCTTTCAGCAGCGGCTCTGGAGACGTGCTCATCATCGTCAGATCCGCCAGACTCCCGTCTGGATGAACGAGTCTGGAGATCAGGAATATTTCATTAGGAGAGAAAGACACACACACTATATCACCTATTTATATGTGTGACATATGAGTGATTCTTCAATTACAGGCACTTTTGACTTCCTGAAAGCATGAAAAATTAAACTTTCTTTAAATTATGCATCATCTAATCAAACATTTATCACATGTCCTGTAAATAAATCTGGATTTTCATTTGTCACATTATGATGACAAAATAGTTGAAATTGCATGCTAATACAACACATTTATATTTTTAATTTATACAAATAAATGCATGGTTGCTTAATTAAAAATTCTCAAATTCTAACTAGTTTGGTCAAGATACCAAATAAAGATTAATAAAAAGAAACATTTCTGCTTTTTAATGATCTGATTCTCATTTACATCATAACCAAACATAAACTCTTTTTAAATGTAATAGTTTTTTTTAACTGCTTGAAAAGACAGTAAATAACAGCACAATTTATTAGCGATTATATGATAAATAATTGAAGTTAAATACATAAGTAAAATATACAAATAAATAAGTTCAATAAATATATTTTTTTAATGAAAACAAATTCATTCATTTATTCGTTAGAAAATGCGCAAATACTTGTCCTGATTTTCCATGGTAATGTCTGGTTATGAAACAGGAACAAAATAAAGAAATTATGGCAAAACAAACATTTTAACACAAATAAAATAAACAAATAAACCACAGGTTTAAAAAAAACAAAAAACATTTTGTCTTTAAATTCATCCTAGCCGATAGAAAAGTTCCTCTAATTGATGAATCACCCATACTGTCTCTAAACTTAGATCACATGCTGATCAGGTTAGCTTACTTTGGGTTATAAAACGATCCCAGTGAATGAAATGTTAGTCCCTTAAGTGGCATAAACCTTGGCTTGCACAGGCAGGGTTTGGGTGGAAATCATGGATGCCGTGTGCATTAGATCCGTAAGGAACAAGCCGGATTGCATTACAGTGTCAGGGCCTTTGTTTAAACAAGCAATGCACGTGTCTGCCATACGTGAATCATGTGACCGTAAAACCAAACCAAAACAAAGAAATATCCAGCAGTCAGAATAAAGTGGCAATGACCTCGTCCGAATGGTCTCGCGGCTCTGAAGGGTTTAAACGCTTGCATGATGAGGTTTCATGTCAAAGATTTACCTTGTTTATTACCACACTTACTTGCTCTCGGGAGAAGATATTTTTTGCTTGATGCTGTTGAAGTAATTTACAGAATGGAAATATACGAAAGAAATCAAGAAAAGTTTCACATGTAGAACAGTCAACACTCAACAGAATGGAAATATGGAGATGGAGAAAGAGGGACAGATAGATTTGGAGATGCTTCGAAGACGAGAGGACCGTGCATTTCAGAGACATGCTGAGGAGATGTTAGAGTCGGAGACTGTCATGGATGAGGAGGATTAATCGTCAGGATATAAAGCTGACTTCAGTAACACTTTCTGGGATGCATTTGAGCAGGCAGAGGTTTAAAGTCAACATGAAACCAAAAAAGTCCCTATTTAGCTTTTTAATACGCGTTCCTGTTCATAAATGTTATTCAAACGCAAACGACAAAAACATAAATACTATAATAACTTCCCACGCCTGAAACAACTTTCCTTATTGGCCACTAGGGATTAGGGGTGGGAGAAAAAATTGATTCTCCAATGCACCGTTTCTCTGAAAATTTCCGTTTTTAACCACAAATGAGCAATTGCACTATTTGTGCTTTAGAAACAGTCATAGTCTGCTTACTTGCAATTCCACACACATACACAAAAACCCTCGAACCATCAATAAAATATTCTTCCATAAACTTAAAGGGTTAAAGCGAATCGGATCGTGACTCCCAGAATCGGAATCAGATCGTGAGGTGCCTAAAGATTCCCACCCCTATTCGGAAATACATCTGACTACAGAAATAAAACGGGTTTTGAATGCAGTTTCACGTTGACTTTGACATTATGTAACATTTACAGCAAAAATTAAAGTTCTAAACAAGAAAATCAAGTCAGTGACAAAGACTCATACATTTTTTGATCAGGCCGTTAAAAAGTGACATCATCAAGTGAGAAAACAAGTGTACTGAGAGTAGTGAGAAGAATGAGGGATTGTGGGAAATTGGGGAAAAGGTGAACATTCGTTGTGGTTTCCATAAATGGCAGAGAAAGAAAATCAGTCACCCACCTATCCACGATCAGATAGATACGACCACTGACTTTAGTATAGCTGTGATGTGAGGGATGGCAGGGGAAAGATGTGAGCAGATGATTGGTTAAAAAAGAAGTGAATTTGCATAAAGTAAGATGATCGGCAGAGATTAAACAAGGTTTACACTGCAACAGATTTAACAGAGGACAAACCATCATGAAGCAGACAGTGAGAAATGAGGAAATGAAGCATGAGGATGAACCTAAGGCTCTATTTACACCTGGGATTAAGATGCGTTTTGGTCGATTAGATCACAAGTGAACGACTCGAAAACATTTTGAGCTTGTCCACTTTCGACCACTTCCAGAGGTAGTTGAAAACACATAGGACCAGATTGCTTTCGTAGTGTAAACACTCATGTGATCGAATGTGTTCAAACAGCCACAAAAGCCCGTCTACTCTCTGTCTACTGGCCTAATGCGTAACATTATGTGAAGCGCTCTAGCCAGACGGGGTTCAAACTTTGTCGGCTGGAGACCCAAGATTAGTTTGAAGATGAAAAACGCATCAAGCACAATGTTCTCTCATCATTCCTGATTTCTAACACACACTCACAGCGTTCGGCTGGTCTTGCGGCTGTCAGAGCAGAAACTAAAGCTGATGCTCTCCGTGTGTTTTTCCGTCGTCTCCGATCGTGTTCATATATAATTGCATGAGCTTATTTTGGCCATCAGATCAAAAGATCTGAAAAAACTGACATTTATCCTCCCATAGCCCCTCCCCTCGAAGAAATCAGGACAGAAGTGGTTGAAAGTGGACAAAAGAGACGGATTAAAACACCAGGTGTAAACGGGTTTGTGTCTCCCTCACTTGGGATCCGATCGACCAAAACGCATCTTAATACCGGATGTAAACAGAGCCCAAAATGAAGTTCAACAAGACAATGGAGCAAACACTCTGCAAACCTTTAGAAGTTGAATATAGCTACAAATTTTCTGTTTACAATTAATTATTAAAGCAATGCACCACAAGAGAATGTTCAATCAAATATGTGGACAGGTACCCTTGATCACAAAACCAGTCACAAGTCGCACGGGTAAATTTGTGGCAATAACCAACAATACATTATATGGGTCAAAATTATCGATTTTTCTTTTATGCCAAAAATCATTAGGATATTAAGTAAAGATCATGTTCCATGAAGATATTTAGTAAATTTCCTACCGTAAATATATAAAAAAATATATTTTTGTGAGTGAATGCCGCACAATCGCGAACATTAATGGACAACTTTAAAGGCGATTTTCTCAATTATCATTTTTTTTGCACCCTCAGATTCAAGATTTTCAAATAGTTGTATCTCGGCCAAATATTGTCATATCCTAACAAACCATACATCAATGGAAAGCTTGTGTTACGACTTCAACTGTGGCTCGTCTAATCAGATTTGAGATATCATGATCCATGACCTCACCTAAATGACATCACTCATCCCTGTTATCATCGGCTGTAACTAGCGAAGACCTCAGCCTGAGCAGAGAAAGCGCTCTCACCTGTAAATGGTGCTCTCCTGTTTGCTGACCACTGCTTTGAGATCAGTGAGCTGCAGAAAGTGGTCGTGGAAGTAATGCAGGTGCAGGATACACACCAGCAAGAAGGACGTGGGGATGAAGATACGGGTGAACAAATCAGAGAGGCTGTACTTCTTCAGCCCGATAGCCTTCAGTCTGCAAAGAGACAGAAGAGAGTGGGAAATAATGCTGCCTAAAGAGGTGTTATTATGCTTTATTTTACATGTTCATCTTTCTTTAGTGTGTAATGTTGCTGTTTAAGCATTAAAAAGCTCTGCAAATTTACAAATTCCAGTGGGAGTTCTTCTCTATATCAGTGTCAGTGTTTCTGAACTCCTGAAACGCCTCCATTGTAGTCTTGAGTTTCTTCCGGGAACGAACACGTCACAATATTCCTCATTTAAATAATTTATACGCAGAATAAAGGGGCGGAGCCTGGTTGAGTTAGTTAGTAGTGTGTTGAAACTCGCGGTTATGGGAAGAGGCGTCTCATTTACGATTGACCAATCACAACACACTGCTCCAGCCGACCAATCAGAGCACAGTGTGCTTTTCAGAAGGAGGGGCTTCATAGAGACAGGAACTAAACAGAGCGTTACTGACAGACTGGGAAGAGAGGAGCCGCAACAATGGAGAATATGTGAAAAACTTGTTCTAGTAGATCTAAGTCAAAATCAAGACTTTGTTTTAAAGAGGCCATTTGCTGTTTTTATACTCGTTTTTGGCCCAAATCTACAGGAGCACTGAATGCATACTTTGCACTTAAAATCTGTAATAAAACATAAGGTTTCATATCAGTTAGGATGCTTCCTTAGATGAGCTGCTGGTGTAGACAATAAAGCCGCTCACTTAGACTTGAACTGTGTGGCTTGTGGCACGACCAACAGATCAAACGTATCTAGAGTATTCAATACTCACACTTTCTCTGTCATGCCTGTCATACTGGTCCAGGTAGCGATGGCGTTCTCAAACTGACAGGTGTAGATTAGGATGAGCACAAGCATAGTATAAACCACCACAGACATCCAGAAGTACTTCAGGATCCTGCGCCACCATTCATAGTGTACCTGAGGAGAACAGAAGCGCTCCGTCAAAGACCTTTCAAGGAAAACTTCACCCGAAATGAAGACTCGCTCATCCTTTATAATAAAATAGGCTTATTCTTATGCAACACAAGCCAAAATGGCAGTTTTCTTTGTCGAGTATCTTCGCGAGAACAGTCTTAAAACAGTTAAATTAAGTCTTAAATAAATGTAAAGAGTTGTGAGAAAATGGTGTGTCAGATCCGCGTCATGTGTGGCAGCTCTTAAAGTGACAGCAGCCTAATAAACCTGCTGCTTTCTGTCATTAATGTTAATGAAAAAGAGATGAAAAGAGAAAATCACTCACTGATCTTGACTGACTAACTTTGTTGCTTTAATAAGGATTCATCTACACTACCGTTCAAAAGTTTGGGCTCGGTACGATTTTAAATACTTTTAAAAGAATTCTCTTCTGCTAACCGTGGCTGCGCTTATTTGATTAAAAATACAACAAAATCAGTTATAGTATTAAATATTATTCCAGTGTAAATCAGCTGTTTTCTGTGTGAATATATAGTAAAGTGTAATTTATTCCTGTGATCAAAGCTGAATTTTCAGCATCACCAGTGTCAGTGTCTTCAGTGTCAAATGATCCTTCACAAATCAGTATAATATGAGGATTTGATGCTCAAGAAACATTTATTATTATTATTATCAATGTTGAAACAGTTGTTGGTCTGTCAGTTGTACAGTTTTTTTTTTTTTTTTTAGGATTCTTTGATGAATAGGAAGTTCAAAAGACTTTTGTAACATTATAAATGTCTTTACTGTCCTTGATAAATAAAAGTATTGATTTCTTTCCTCCAAAAAATAAAAATAAAATTCTTACTGACCCCAAACTTTTGAACGGTAGTGTATATTTCATTTATAATTTATGCAGTGAAGCAGTGCAGTGTTTGATTATTACATTTCTGTACAGTATATTTACCTGTTAAACTTACCTGAAAATCTTAAAGCACTCTTTACAAGGTTACATGGGTCAAAAACAATAACTTTTTGTGCATTTTGACAGGGTAAGTAAAGATAGAACCGGGCTAAGTGGGCCAATAGAACAAATTGAGCTATTGAAAATAGAAATAAATCTATTTATTTGTATTGGAATTGGTAATACTGGCCTTCTTTCATAAAAAGATGCCATTGAACAATTTTGATTTTAGGAGCATATATTTCTATTGGCCCAAATTTTGTGTTTGTGACCCATGCAACCTTGTAAACAGCGCTTCAAGATGCTCAGGTACAGGTCTGAGAGTAAAATCTAAGAAATTGAATAAATAGATCAAATGTAAAATAACACTGCACTGTGGTTTAAAGTCACTTGAATGAATGAGAGCTTGATTACATACTGTAACACTATCCAAAGGATGCCAGGAAAAAAACAAGGATGCTGTGTTAATATTTTGAACGCGTTGATCACGTTGTGTTCATTTTGACAGCCCTATTATATATACTATATAAAGGTCCCTCGTTGTCATTTAAAATCAAAAGGAGATCGTGCTTTTTCCGTGGTAGGTCCCAAACTTTGGAATAGTCTCCCATTCCCATTTCTGTCCGGGAGATTTGTGCGGGGATTGTTCGGTGCGACTGGGAGCTCGCTTTCGGGTTAAGCTTTCCGCGACTGTGCAACTGGGTTATAGGTTGCCAGGTTGAGATGACAAACGGGTTGAAATTGTATATGGTGTGTGGATTGTGTGAATATAATGCATTTAATACAAGATCTGACAACTGGTCAACATTAGACAAACATATTGGTCCGATTATTCATAAAGGAGTTTGGGCCATGCAAATTACGGGAAATAACAAACCGGCAGGGGTCCGGGAGATAGGGCTAAAAACCGGGAGAAACCCTGGAAAAATAGGAGTGTTGACAGGTATGCCCATTCCACGTGAGGTCAGCTCCATCAATTACCACTTATAAGTCTTATTTAAAAACGTATTTATTTTCTTTAGCTCTTGAATAAGTTGTGTTTGTTTTGTTGTATGATTTTAATGTTATCATTTTTGTAAAGCACTTTGGGACAACGTCTGTTGTTTGAAAATGTGCTATATAAATAAATTTGCTTGCTTGCTTGCAATAACAACTGAATAAATATATACACGACATGGACATGTTTTCACAGATGTGTCCAGTCAAAATCCCAACAACCTTTAAGGCCTTCTAGGGCCCTATCTTGCACCCGGCGCAAATGACTTTGTACACTGACGCATGTATCATTCCTATTTTGCACCCGCGCAAAGCGGGCTTTTCCCTCCACAGACGCTCGTCGGTAAACTAGGGAATGAACTTGCGCTCCCTGGGCGGGTCGGCGCAAAAAGGAGGCGTGTTTCGGCGCAAACAATCCCTAGTGCTATTTTGCAGTTCCAGAAAACAATTCCGCCACTGACCAGAAAAAACCTAGTCTAAAGTCAGTGGCGCGTTGCGCGTTGTTCATAATGCTATTTTAAGCGCGCATGCTTGGCCATAATGTAGCGGGTGCACAACACGCATACACACTTTGATTCTCTCATCAACACAGATGCAGCAGTTTTTATTTTTGCAAATCATACATTATAACAAGGAAAAATATTAACACATGAGGGAAATCATTGTGGTGTCCATGAAGACACGCCTGTTTAACCGACGCTGATTTGGGTGGGTTTCTCCCATCCCCGTACAACGCCACTTCTCTGTCTTTCACGGCCCTGACGAGAACGTCGGTCTCCTCGGCTGTGAACCGCTCCTGGCGCGCGTCTGGTAAATCCGCCGTTATAATAGCAATCCGCCATGCAACATGCGGACCTGCTCTTAAAGGGAATGTTGGATGACGCTCTGATTGGTTTATTTCACGTTACGCCCAAACCACACCTATGAATAATGAAGCTACTTCAGACCAACCCCTTTTAAACTTGCGTCGGGCGCAAGAGTCATTTATCCCGCCGGTAAAATGACAACAGTGCCCAAGACCCGATACACAAAGATACTTGCCCTTCGCGCTTGATACTTGTGTTCCAGATCGTTAAAATAGGGCCCCTAGTGTTAAGCCTTGTTTATACTCGCCGCGTCCGCAAGAGCGCGAAGGTGCGCACGGCAAAATGACGTAATTGCGGTGTGGGCGGTCGTGCGCGTTGGGTGCGCAAGACCCCATTTCGCCTGGCGGTGTGCACGGCACTTTTTGTAACATCGCGCGCGGCGCCGCATCCGAAGATGAACGACTTCGAGCCGAATCAGGCCGAACTGGTACGTCTGTACCAGCATGTTTATGATCCTTCTATACACAGAGACATTTGCATTGATGGGCGACCATAAAAGCCTCTCATTTTGTGAATAGGAACACATTTGCATTAAGCACCCAGTTTGCACTTGTCTAAACTGCTTATATTTACAAAATAAGCCTACAATAGCAGAAGTAAGCCCTGCTGATGAAATTAAGGTTTAAACACTCTTCAATAAGGCTTCAGTTGTTTAACGAGTTTGTACAAGAAAGTACAATACACCAACTGCATTTATTACTCTTTTAATATGAATCAGCTATTAATAAACTACTAATAAACGGCAAACTACTTCTTCACTGCTGATTCCTGGTGGTTTAGAGGAGAATTACTCCGAGTCGCCCCCCTGTCGTTTCACAGAATAGCACAACGGCGAGCGCGTCAAGTATAAACGCCTCGTCCGTTTGGAGAGGTGCGCGCGCAGTCAGCGGAGACTCGCGCTCGTGCGGACGCGTCGAGTATAAACAAGGCTTTAGACAGCAGTGCTGCACCTGGTAAAGAGCCACGCAGAAGAGAAACATCATCATGTAGACGATCTTGTACATGACCATGTCTCCTTCAAAGCTGACGAAGAAGAACATTCCTCCGCAGATATAGATCCAGTATTTCACCAGCAGAGCCTTCACTAGATTCCCCATCACATGCATCAGGTCGTTCTCGTCCACTTCCTCTTCCTCTTTGTCTTCCTCTGAAACCCACATGGAAAGTTATTTCTTTATGGATATAAAATAACTAAGAGATGTTCTGCTGTGACTGTCACAGGATTTAATCTGCATTGGAAACCACTTGTTAGAGATTCTAATAAAGCACCTTTTTTCTGCTCGTCTACTTTGACGTCACAAAGCGCTGCTTCTTCTTCCACCCTCGCCTGTCGCTCCATCAGCGTTTGTCTGAGCAGAAGCCAGAAGCTCAGCTGACACAGAATCTACAACACACACACACACACACACAATGGCAAAAACACACTAGTAAAATACTCAACACAGTTTTGGTAATGGGCATAAATGTATCAATAAATCACAGTGTAGTGACGTTTTACATTCAAAGTGTGTTTATAACTTATGGCAGTTATATACAATTATATGTATTATAGATATATAATTTACAGCTATTGCTGCAAATACATTATTTGTACTTGTTTGTAACTACACTGTTTGATACATAATTTTATGGAATTTTGTTTCCGCCACGAATTAATAACTAATAATTAGATAATTGCGACCTTTTATCTCACAATTCTGACTTTATAACTCGCAATTCTGACTTGTTTCTTGAAATTGCGACTTTATATCATGCAATTCTACGAAAAAAAGTCCGAATTGTGAAATAAAAAGTCGCAATTACTTTTATTATTTTTTATTCTGTGGCAGAAAAAAGCTCCCATATATTTAACATATAACATTTGTACACAAAATAAATATGATAACTACGATGTTCATAAGTTTGAGGAGAAAAAGTTTTGAATTTGTTCGTTTTTTAAATAATCAAATGAACAAATAAATGCAGCCTCGGTGAACATAAGAGACTTTTCTTAATTATTCCAAACTTTTGACCTGTATTGCATATATTTATATCTTATTATAGCATATATAATTTATATTATAGTTGCCACATTATATTTTTATTAAATCATACATATATTTTTCTGATATACTGTATAAAAGCATGTAATATTTTTTTTTTTGTGGCCAAGCCATACAGCAGAAACTGCACTTATTGTTGATGTCTGATTAAAGTGAAAATAATATATAATCTTTCGCAAAATCGGGCAGTTCATTGGCTAAATGTCTAATTGTTACCTTGGAGCTCAGTCCAGTGAAGGGCACCGTCATCTTCAGAAAGAACCCAGGCACTGCCTCCAAGCGCTCAAAACTCCAGATATACTGAAGGACTAACAGAAGGTTCCCATAAGCCACCATGAACGGCGAGGTCAGCATGGCGTACTTCCTCCTGTCTCGCACCATCCAGAGAGTACAGGACCAGAGCAGAAACACAAACGTCAGCCAGCTCACGTACGTTATACTCCACGCCTGAGAAACACACAAACATTCATAAGATTCCATGTTCCAAATGTTCCAAATGTTCCAAATGAACCATTTCACACTCAAATTCTAATTTAGAACTTCAAAGGAACAGTTAACCCTTGTGTTATGTTGCGGGTCAATTTGACCCGTTTCGATTTTCAAGTTGTTGGAAATACTGGTTAACCTTTGCTTTTTTTCTTGATATTTTGTGACTTTTTCTCATTTATCATTAAGAACATGCATGCAAAGTTTCAACATGCTGATGTGTTTTGACATATACAAACAAAATTACTATTACTGTGATGTTCGCGGGTCAATTTGACCCTCATAGGCAGCCATTCAAAAGCAACTGTACAGACACAAAATAAAAACATTTATTTTCTGTATGTCAGGGCACTTCAACTCCAGTTCTAATGTGCAAGTGCATCTAAAAGTGCTCTAACCCTAACCAAACACACTTGAAAAAGCTAAAATCACAGTGTTTAGAATTATTTGCAAAATACAGATGAAAATCTTTGTCAGACACAGATAGTAAAATAAGCTCTCATTTCAATATTCAAAATATCTAAAATACCTAGCTTTTAACCAAAACTTTTATGTAGGATTTTCAAAGGCAGCTTCACAGAGCCAAAAAATAAATAAAAAACATTTATTTGATGTATGTTTTTGTTATGTTTGGTTTCTCACTTCCCAGTGAGTGAATAATGAAACTACGAAAATAGGTCTTAGGAAACTAGGGAACGTTAACTTAGGAAAATTAAAATTTTCATTATACAGGATTTTTTTGTTTGTTCAGTTACGATGTTCAAAGCATAAAATGTAAAAAAAAATAAAAAAAAAATAAGGAAAAAAAAAATATATGCAAAAAAAAACAGTATACTGTTTATTTTCCAATTTTGTCAAAACAAAACTGTTTTAAAAAATGTTTTAAAAACATTTTCATAAATCATATTTTCAGATATAATATTCTGAATGTTTGACAAATGTTGATATTAAAAGTTTACAGTTTGTATCTAAATCTTTGTTGTTTTTCATAGTGTGATTTTTGAGGAATTGTATTGAATTCAATTAGGGTCAATTTGACCCAGTCCATAAGGGGAGTACACAGAATTCGAACAGAACACAAGGGTTAAAAAAAAAAGCCCTTTGACCTTCTCACCATCATAGCGATAAGAGCACAGATGTAGCTCTGCTTCATGATGAACTTGAACACTTTTACGAGAGTGCTCGGCGGTCCGCCCTCCTCTTCCTCTTCCTCTTCCTCATCGGTCTTCTCCTCTTCCTCCTCCAGCTGTAAGTCCACGATCTCATTTGTGTTCTCATCCGTCTTCTCTGTGTGGAGCATTAAAATAATGCATCTTTACATTTCATCACTTGAGAAAAATTCGGTGGATTTGCCCAATATATTAGTTAACTAGAAACGAGTCTCAGCCACAGACAGCAGGAGGCTTTGAATCAGTTACCCTGGTGCAACGAGCGCTTTAGTTTAGTTCAGTTTACCACTTTATTAATCGCACAAGGGGCAATTACAATAGGGCTTAAAACACACATAACACAAACACATTAAAACACATAAACCATATAAATAAATAAAAACATATGAGTAAATGAAAAAACCTATTACAACATGCTTAAAAATAAAATCAGTTATTAATAAATACCAACATAACATCCTTTAAAAATGAGGAAGAACCAGTCACTGGATTTGCCAGGAAGTTACTGTAATTAAAGTTAATTAGAGTTTTGTTTGCTGTTCTGAAGAGCAGAATTGTATTTTTCTGTTATTATTTTATTATTTTATTTATTTTATTTTTCCATGCACATAATTTTTTTTTGTTTTTAAATTTATGTCACGTAATCTCGAATCAAATTATCTTGATACGAGTCGATTTATTTCATGATAACAATATATCTATCTCACAATAGAATTATTTTTGCTTTAAAAAAGGATTTTATAATATGCACTTTTTTGATAGCATTGAAATTTCCTAATTTCAATATCACAAAAAACGATTAGCTTAAGAAAAATAAAACTCAAGCTAACTGAAGACAAGTAAACGGTGATAAAGAAAGAACAAAGAAACCAATATAGGAAGCACATAGGAAAACAAACAACAATAGAACAGACACAAATGAAATAGACCTACCTGAAACACTTCAAGCACTAGAAATAGAAATACATACATTGTATAAAGTAATCAAACGTATATAAAATACACTGCATAGTCCTCACTATGTAAGTTAAACCCACATTTATTCTTATTAAAGTTACACAAGTGATTCAGTCAAGAGCAGTGAGAGATTTTTCTCTTTTGTTGTTTGATGGACATTAATGCCATTAAAACCGAATGAACGGGTCTAATATACTTGTGCGTTGTTTTTTTCTGTTTACTGTGAAATGTTTACGTTCACTAAAGACATAAATAACAGGGTTTATGAGGATACTTGTAAAGATGGGCATTTTGATGACTTATGTGTATTTATAGTCTGAATACTTGACTCTGATTGGCTGGATGGTGTGCAATAAAACCGGTTAATGCACAGATAGTTCCAGTCAGTTTAATCACCGGTCTATATTAATGCGCTGTTTTCATTGAAGCACACACACACGTCACTCGGAGATCGCACAGCGCACACACACACTCACACACGTCACTCTGAGATCGCACAGTGCACACACACACGTCACTCGGAGATCGCACAGCGCACACACACACTCACACACGTCACTCTGAGATCGCACAGTGCACACACACACGTCACTCGGAGATCGCACAGCGCACACACACACACGTCACTCGGAGATCGCACAGCGCACACACACATGTCACTCGGAGATTGCACAGCGCACACACACACACACACACACTCACACACGTCACTCGGAGATCGCACAGCGCACACACACACACACACACACGTCACTCGGAGATCGCACAGCGCACACACACGTCACTCGGAGATCGCACAGCGCACACACACACACACACACGTCACTCGGAGATTGCACAGCGCACACACACACACACACACACACACACACTCACACACGTCACTCAGAGATCGCACAGCGCACACACACACGTCACTCGGAGATCGCACAGCGCACACACACACACACACACACACACACACGTGACTCGGAGATTGCACAGCGCACACACACACACACACACACACACACACACACACTCACACACGTCACTCGGAGATCGCACAGCGCACACACACACGTGACTCGGAGATCGCACAGCCCACACACATGTCACTCGGAGATCGCACAGCGCACACACACACACACACACACGTCACTCGGAGATCGCACAGCGCACACACACACGTCACTCGGAGATCGCACAGCGCACACATACACACACACACACACACACACACACGTCACTCGGAGATCGCACAGCGCACACACACACTTCACTCGGAGATCGCACAGCGCACACACACACGTCACTCGGAGATCGCACAGCACACACACACACACACTCACGTCATTCGGAGATCGCACAGCGCACACACACACACACACACATCACTCGGAGATTGCACAGCGCACACACACACACACACACACACACACACACACTCACGTCATTCGGAGATCGCACAGTGCACACACACACGTCACTCGGAGATCTCACAGCGCACACACACGTCACTCGGAGATCGCACAGCGCACACACACACACACACACACGTCACTCGGAGATTGCACAGCGCACACACACACACACACAGACACACGTCACTTGGAGATCTCACAGCGCACACACACGTCACTCGGAGATCTCACAGCGCACACACACGTCACTCGGAGATCGCACAGCGCACACACACACACACACACACACGTCACTCGGAGATTGCACAGCGCACACACACACACACACAGACACACGTCACTTGGAGATCTCACAGCGCACACACACGTCACTCGGAGATCTCACAGCGCACACACACACACACACACACGTCACTCGGAGATTGCACAGCGCACACACACACACACACACTCACACACGTCACTCGGAGATCTCACAGCGCACACACACGTAACTCGTAGATCGCACAGCGCACACACACACACACACGTCACTCGGAGATCTCACAGCGCACACACACGTCACTCGGAGATCGCGCACACACACACACACACACACACGTCATTCGGAGATTGCACAGCGCACACACACGTCACTCGGAGATCGCGCACACACACACACACACACGTCATTCGGAGATTGCACAGCGCACACACACGTCACTCGGAGATTGCACAGCGCACACACACACACACACACACTCACACACGTCACTCAGAGATCGCACAGCGCACACACACACGTCACTCGGAGATCTCACAGCGCACACACACACGTCACTCGGAGATCTCACAGCGCACACACACACTCACACACGTCATTCGGAGATTGCACAGCGCACACACACGTCACTCGGAGATTGCACAGCGCACACACACACACACACACTCACACACGTCACTCAGAGATCGCACAGCGCACACACACACGTCACTCGGAGATCTCACAGCGCACACACACACGTCACTCGGAGATCGCACAGCGCACACACACACACACACACACACGTCACTCGGAGATCGCACAGCGCGCACACACGTCACTCGGAGATCTCACAGCGCACACACACACGTCACTCGGAGATCGCACAGCGCACACACACACACACACACACACACACACACACACGTCACTTGGAGATCGCACAGCGCACACACACACGTCACTCGGAGATCGCACAGCGCGCACACACGTCACTCGGAGATCTCACAGCGCGCACACACACGTCACTCGGAGATCGCACAGCGCACACACACACACGTCACTCGGAGATCGCACAGCGCGCACACACGTCACTCGGAGATCTCACAGCGCGCACACACGTCACTCGGAGATCGCACAGCGCACACACACACACACACGCAGGCACGTGCACAGGTAGGGCTCAACCTGTGCAGAGCACATGCCCTTTTTGCTCTGACACTCGAAGTGCCCTTTTTTTTTGGTGTTGGTGGTGTTTTCTTCTACTTCAATAAATCAATGCTATTGCTATTGGTCACCCTTTACGTCTGTCTGTCTGTTTTAAAAATATTTAGCCAATGAAAGATCTTAAAAAGAGCTTGTGTAAATCTTGTTCGATCTTAAACTGTCAGTAAAGCTGATAACTCCGCCCCCTCTATCGTGACTGAATGAACTGAAGCTCCGCAGCGGCCGCACAGCAGACAGCAGCTGAACGAAGTTTTGCAAGGGTAAATAAAGATATTGTTGTTTGAATAAGTACTAAACACTTTGTCTATAAAAGCTCATATTTTATTTATTTGATGTCTGACTGAGACATGTGGGACCTGAGAGAAAGGTCTACGCTAGAATAAAATGCGATTTTGGCCACATGTATTTTACAACAGGAAAAACTGAGCGCCTATATAGCTACAACAAACTTAACCCGTTGATGAAAATGTAACTTAATGTGATGCCGCCGGCGCCGTTTTAATGACGGACAAAATGCACATTTGCACACATTCGTTTGTCAAGAACCCCGTAGCAGTTAACTGTATTTGAGTTTGACTTTTGTAAAATGTTAACAATATATTCATAAGTACTACAACAAAATATAATTTGTTTTTACCATCGGAAAATCATAAGCACAGGCGCGCCCCCGCGCTGTTTCGTACTGAAACTACACAAAGCGACTGAGTGATCCTCGTCGTCACCTAGGTGACATATATTTCTAAGAAATTTTCTTCTTTGAATTATGATTGCTGATACACTTAACTTATTAACATTTCATCTTGTTATGGTAATAATATTAAATTATGGTTAATTCAAGGTTATTGATATGCACGTATTCACTATTTTTTAATCTATAGTATTGTATACTCTCTGCTCGTCGTCACATGTATAAATGTAGTAAAACATGGTTTTACTACAGTAATGTTGTAGTAGTAACTAAAAAAAAAAAAACATTACAGAAGATCACTGTGAAATCTTTATATTTTATCATGCAGAATGTAATTCATGATTTAATTCATTCCAATGCTTAATTTATTTGATCCAAAATACAGCAAAAACAGTAATATTGTGAAATATTTTTTACAATCTAAAATAACTGTTTTCTATTTAAATATTTTAAAAAGTAATTTATATCTGTGATCAAAGCTGAATTTTCAGCATCATCATTACTCAAGTTCAATACTCTTCACTCAGTGTCACGTGGTCCTTCGGAAATCCTTTTCACTGCAACTGTACTTATCACACTATTTTATTTATTTATTTTCATTGCTGGCTTATTTTAGGGAAAGTGTAATGAACAAGGGACCTTCAAGAGACCAACATTCCTGGTCCTCCACAGTATCAAGTTTTTGCCAGGTAGGCGGATACATATTGGATATGCTATAGTTGTATGGCTACCATTGTATGGCTATAGTTTCGTATAATCTGGAATTGAGTTGGACATAATTATTTAAATTATATTTCAAAATAGTTTCTCAAAAATACTTGACTCATGTTTATGTGTGACATTGAGAAGAGGGGAAGGTAGAGCAATGTTAACCAAATAATACAAATTAGCTTATGAAACCAAACAGAATAGCTAAAATATATATATTTTATTGAACTTTGTGTGTGCAAAGCAGAGAAAAAAAAATACATATATATATATATATATATATATATATATATATATATATATATATATATATATATATATACACTCACCGGCCACTTTATTAGGTACACCTGTCCAACTGCTCGTTAACACTTAATTTCTAAGCAGCCAATCACATGGCGGCAACTCAGTGCATTTAGGCATGTAGACATGGTCAAGACAATCTCCTGCAGTTCAAACCGAGCATCAGTATGGGGAAGAAAGTTGATTTGAGTGACTTTGAACGTGGCATGATTGTTGGTGCCAGAAGGGCTGGTCTGAGTATTTCAGAAACTGCTAATCTACTGGGATTTTCACGCACAACCATCTCTAGGGTTTACAGAGAATGGTCCGAAAAAGAAAAAACATCCAGTGAGCGGCAGTTCTGTGGGCGAAAATGCCTTGTTGATGCCAGAGGTCAGAGGAGAATGGCCAGACTGGTTCGAGCTGATAGAAGGGCAACAGTGACTGAAATAACCACTCGTTACAACCGAGGTATGCAGCAAAGCATTTGTGAAGCCACAACACGCACAACCTTGAGGCGGATGGGCTACAACAGCAGAAGACTCCACCGGGTACCACTCATCTCCACTACAAATAGGAAAAAGAGGCTACAATTTGCAAGAGCTCACCAAAATTGAACAGTTGAAGACTGGAAAAATGTTGCCTGGTCTGATGAGTCTCGATTTCTGTTGAGACATTCAGATGGTAGAGTCAGAATTTGGCGTAAACAGAATGAGAACATGGAACCATCATGCCTTGTTACCACTGTGCAGGCTGGTGGTGGTGGTGTAATGGTGTGGGGGATGTTTTCCTGGCACACTTTAGGCCCCTTAGTGCCAATTGGGCATCGTTTAAATGCCACGGCCTACCTGAGCATTGTTTCTGACCATGTCCATCCCTTTATGGCCACCATGTACCCATCCTCTGATGGCTACTTCCACCATGTCACAAAGCTCTAATCATTTCAAATTGGTTTCTTGAACATGACAATGAGTTCACTGTACTAAAATGGCCTCCACAGTCACCAGATCTCAACCCAATAGAGCATCTTTGGGATGTGGTGGAACGGGAGATTCGCATCATGGATGTGCAGCCGACAAATCTGCGGCAACTGTGTGATGCCATCATGTCAATATGGACCAAACTCCCTGAGGAATGCTTCCAGCACCTTGTTGAATCTATGCCACGAAGAATTGAGGCAGTTCTGAAGGCAAAAGGGGGTCCAACCCGTTACTAGCATGGGGTACCTAATAAAGTGGCCGGTGAGTGTGTATATATATATTATTTTTTTATAACTATAACATTTATAAAAAAAAATTATAACTGATATAACTATTTTTTGTACTTATATGAATTTTGATTACTTGGTGGGGGAAAAAAAGGGAGGGGGTGCCCTTTGTCAGTTTCAGCACATGCCCCTCAAAAGGTCTGTGCACGGCCCTGCACACACGTCACTCGGAGATTGCACAGCGCACACACTCACACACGTCACTCGGAGATCGCACAGCGCACACACACACGTCACTCGGAGATCGCACAGCGCACACACACGTCACTCGGAGATCTCACAGCGCACACACACGTCACTCGGAGATCTCACAGCGCACACACACACACACACGTCACTCGGAGATTGCACAGCGCACACACACACACACACACTCACACACGTCACTCGGAGATCTCACAGCGCACACACACGTCACTCGGAGATCTCACAGCGCACACACACGTCACTCGGAGATCTCACAGCGCACACACACACACACACACGTCACTCGGAGATTGCACAGCGCACACACACACACACACACACTCACACACGTCACTCGGAGATCGCACAGCGCACACGTCACTCGGAGATCGCACAGCGCACACACACACACACACACTCACACACGTCACTCGGAGATCGCACAGCGCACACACACACGTCACTCGGAGATCGCACAGCGCACACACACACACACACACTCACACACGTCACTCGGAGATCGCACAGCGCACACACACACGTCACTCGGAGATCTCACAGCGCACACACACACACACACACACACGTCACTCGGAGATTGCACAGCGCACACACACACACACACACACACACTCACACACGTCACTCGGAGATCGCACAGCGCACACACACACGTCACTCGGAGATCTCACAGCGCACACACACACACACACACACACGTCACTCGGAGATTGCACAGCGCACACACACACACACACACACACACTCACACACGTCACTCGGAGATCGCACAGCGCACACACACACGTCACTCGGAGATCTCACAGCGCACACACACGTAACTCGGAGATCGCACAGCGCACACACACACACACACACTCACACACGTCACTCGGAGATCGCACTACTATACTACTAAACATATTTACAGAGAAGAGTGTTAGTTTAGTTTCATTGAGATACTATTATAGTTTTTATTCGTAATATAAAGTTATTTTACTTTTATATTTTATTTTTTTGTCTTTTTTCTCTGTCTATATAGTTTTTTATTAATTTTTTACTTTAGTTTTAGTAATTATAGTACATCAAGTTAAACCAAATGAAAGTGAGAAATGTTGTCTTGGCAACTAGCTGAAATAAAATAAGTTCAAGATTTTTGAATATTTTATTTTAATGTTTATTTTATTTCTAGTAACACGATGTTGGAAACACTTTACAATAAGGTTCATTAGTCAACATTAGTTAATGTAGTAACTAATACATTAACTAAAAACTAAAATACATTTGTTTTTTAATATTAGTTAATAAAAATACAGCTGTTCGTTGTTTGTTCATGTTAGTTCACAGTGCATTAACTAATGTTAACAAATACAACCTTTGATTAAAAAAAATTATTAGTAAATGTTAAAATTAATATTAACTAAGATTAATAAATACTGAAAAGGTATTGTTCATTCTTAGTTCATGTTAACTAAGATAGTTAACTAATGAACCTTATTGTAAAAAAAAGTGTTACCAAAACCTTAACTTATAGTTTTAGTTTCTGTACTGTAATATATACTATACAAAACTATAATACCCTGGATAGAAACATCTAGATGTTGTTTGAGGTGTTTCAGTTATTACTGGATGTGTATGTACGGTATCTCACCCTCAGGTTCTACAGGCTGGTCCACTTTGTATTGAGGAGTGGAGTAAATGTCCAGCCGGACCGGTCCGTTCTCAATGGGGGCGGCCGACACATAGTCAAACGACGTCCCGTTGGAGTTCACCACGACTACCTTCAGAATCACAAGAAATATTCACACAGGGGACAGGAGACATGATGCGCTCAACAAATGACTAATATCAGTCTAAACGCAATTAATATACAGCATGCAAAAAGAAGTGAAAATTCTCTCTTTACATATTTAAAAAATCAAGGATGCACAATATATCTGTTTCTATATCTTGTTGTAATGGAAATACAGTGCTTTAATACACTGTTATGTAAAATTATTTGTTTGTCCAAATGGGTGAATCTCACAAAACCTGAAAAGAAAATTGCCATAAAAAAGAAAAAAATAGCCAATATTTTCAACAAAGAAAATGAGGATTTTAATTGTGTATTTTGACTATTTTATTGTACCATTTTCTTTCAGTGTTATGTGAAATTCCTATCTATCTATCTATCTATCTATCTATCTATCTATCTATCTATCTATCTATCTATCTATCTATCTATCTATCTATCTATCTATCTATCTATCTATCTATCTATCTATCTGGCTGTCTGTCTGTCTGTCTATGTAATTCTTTTTTCATTTTCATTCATGTGTATGTGTGTGTGGTACAGTATAGTACAGCATATTTTTATCACAATAATGAATTAAAATGCTTTTAATAAAACTAATCACATAAAATAAATCTAATACAATTTAAGGGCAATATATTAATAATAATAATTATTAATAATTTATTATCAATTATAATTTGATTAATTTAGCATTTTTTTTAAATATATATTTGACAGCACGAATATGTAATGCATTAGTAACACTAACTAATAATAAAAATTAATAATAAATAATAAACAAAGAAATACAAATGTATCTAATGAGATTCATGGGAATAATGTGAAATATATGAATAATAATAATGATTGTATATGTTTATTAATAAATCACCCAGAGAGATGGAGTTTCTCAGTAAATCGCACTGAATCACGCCACATCAAGAGCAGCGTACACACAAACACAAGCTGCTAAAAGCCTAAATCAATTACACTATATTTGTCTACAGTTAAAACTTGCAGACACAGAGTTACATAAGCCTTGGCAAAAGCACAGTGAGTGCAAACCTCTGAGGTGCTGTACCCGTCCAGAGTGCAAATGAGCTGAAGAGAGGGAAGAGAAAGACAAGGTGAATGTATTGATGAGCACAGGAGGGTCGATAACATTATGCTGTTCTCTAACATCAGCAGCACTGTTCACAGATAGAGACGCGAGGACAGAGTTCAGGACAACAGACACATCGCCTTCATCATGTTCTCAAAACACACATGCAAACACATCGCTTTTCATGCACTGGTTAAATTGGGCTTTTGTTTAGTAGTGCAAATATTCAAAATACACTGTGTAAGTGTTTATTTTAGTGCACTTTATCTATTTGTGTGGTTATTTTTCTCAAATCTCCACTTCAGCAACTTAACATACAACAAACTTTAGTTTTATTCCCATCTATTTTTCTTATTATTATTATTTTATTCATATGTGATTTTAATACAATATTTTTTTACACTTTGCATTAGGGTCCAATTCTCACTATTAAATTAATAGTGAGAATTGGGTAAATATGATGATATATGCATTATAAGAACTAATAAACATATAATTAGCATGCATATTACTAGGATATTGTCTTTCTGTTTATTAGTACTCATAAAGCACATATTATCATATATATCCAATTCTCACTATTAACTAGTTGCTTATTAGTATGCATATTACTAGGATATTGGCTGTTTATTAGTACTCATAAAGCAGATATTATCATATATATCCAATTCTTACTATTAACTAGTTGCTTATTAGTATGCATATTACTAGGATATTGGCTGTTTATTAGTACTTATAAAGCACACATTATCATATATATCCAATTCTCACTATTAGTTGCTTGTTAGTATGCATATTACTAGGATATTGGCTGTTTATTAGTACTTATAAAGCACATAATCATATATATCCAATTCTTACTATTAACTAGCTGCTTATTTGTATGCATATTACTAGGATATTGGCTGTTTATTAGTACTTATAAAGCACACATTATCATATATATCCAATTCTCACTATTAGTTGCTTGTTAGTATGCATATTACTAGGTTATTGGCTGTTTATTAGTACTCATAAAGCACATAATCATATATATCCAATTCTTACTATTAACTAGTTGCTTATTTGTATGCATATTACTAGGATATTGGCTGTTTATTAGTACTTATAAAGCACACATTATCATATATATACAATTCTCACTATTAGTTGCTTGTTAGTATGCATATTACTAGGATATTGGCTGTTTATTAGTACTCATAAAGCACATATTATCATATATATCCAATTCTTACTATTAACTAGTTGCTTATTTGTATGCATATTACTAGGATATTGGCTGTTTATTAGTACTTATAAAGCACATATTATCATATATATCCAATTCTAACTATTAGTTGCTTATTTGTATGCATATTACTAGGATATTGGCTGTTTATTAGTACTTATAAAGCACATATTAATGCCTTATTCTGCATGATCATATTCTACATCCCTTAATCCTCCTACCCAATACCTAAACTTAACAACTACCTTACTAATATAACTATTAATAAGCAATAAATAGGAGTTTATTGAGGTAAAAGTCAATTAATTGTGAGAATTGGACCCTAATCTTAAGTTTGACCCAAGCTTTTTATTCCTAAAAACATGGTGAAAATGTATTTTATTTTTGGATGTTGACGTATTTTCTGATTATATATGGAGTGATACAAATCCAAAATCCCCTCTGTAAAAACATTGACAAAACGAAGCAAGAATTTTGAATCTGTTTTTTTACAATGTTCGGATTTCTCTTCTGGAAATGTATGCAAATTAGTGCATCTTTAATTTGACAATGCCTAATTTGCATATTTAAACCAAACATTTCAGGAAACGTGTAATACAAAAAAATATTTTGTGATTCTTAATGCAATCAATCACCTGGGGAAGTATGATAATATATATTGATTATATTTTCCTTGCCTTAAAGGGACAGTTCACCCAAAAATAGTATGTAAAAATGAAACGTTTGTAACCAGACATTTGTGGACCAGTGACGTCTATAGTATTTTTTTCCCCATACTATTGAAGTCAATGTTGCAACACAACTGTCTGGTTACCAACATTCTTCAAAATATCTTCTTTTGTGTTCAGCAGAACAAAGAAATTCATCCAGGTTTGGAACAACTTGAGCTTGCCAGTAAATACATTTGTGATGCTCAACTATCCCTTTAAGACAACTAGACTAACTGCAGTTAAATATCAACTCGGAAAGCAATACTAAGTTTTTACTATTGTTGTCGCATGACCTCATTATGTGCATGTTTAATTCAAACTTCTATTGTTCACTGTATAAGAGTTCAAAGTTCCTCACATTTCTTTCCTCAGTTTTCTGATGCGCTTTCCACCAGAGCTGCCGCTTCCGGCCCAACATGTGAAGAACTGTGTTTCCAGCCGTCTCATCTCCCTCCTTCACCTCCTCTTCCTCACTCTCCTGCTGGAGACACATCAACAAACACAGAAATATATTCACGGGTGAGTGAAATTAAAATGCCGCTTGCGAATAAAAACGATGAAGATGATAAACATGTTTAATGGAGTCCTGAGACGAGAACAACAACAATGAGAACAACGAGAACAACTCATTTCATGAAATTCATGATTCATGATTCATCATATGATTCATCATCGATCACATCGATAGATTTATGCTGTGAAATCAAACCTAGAGGCGCATGAATCAATAAGCTCATACATGTGGGGCTTTAAGGGACCGTGTATTGAGCGCTCTACAAACCCTGAAGCGCAGCGTCACAGATGATCAAACCCATCAGTGCATTATTAACCTGGCATATACATCTTCATATATCAAACAGCAGAAAATATAACACACACACAGCTGGCTAATACTTCATTAAAATCATTCTGAGAGGTATTTCTTGATTTTTTGCTTTATAATTGAAATGTTTATGCCAATAATGCCAGATTTGTCTCTGTTTTCTCAAAAATTCTTTTAAAATCTATTTTTCTATGTATTAAAGTGCATTTAAAAGCATGAAATCATGACAAACGTGACATAAATGATTAAAACACGGCATGATCTGAACCCTCTGCAAACAGTGAGTGTGTAAAAAATGAAAAGTTGTTTTCAAATAAGATTGTTTTTCTCCATTGGATTTTTTTAGGCATAATATTATTTGCTAATATTTATTTAGAAACATTCTGGGTTATTTATTAAGAAATATGATTTTGCTTTATCTAAAGGAATATTGGAAAATAAGGATAATACATTTTTATTTTTTAAAAATCTTTTGTAAAATCCATGAACTATTAAAATCAATTTCTTTATGTATTAAAGTAGATTAAAAAAGCATCAAGACGAACATGACGTCAATAATCAGAACACAACATATGAACAGTAAAGTTGCTCTGCAATAAAGACAATTTGTGCACAATATTAAAGTAAGTAATTTATAATTATTCAAAGTAATTTAAGCATAAATCTAATCCGTTAGTGAGGTAAACAAATAAGAAAAAGCTTTCTGATCATATTTATTTAGACATATTCTGATTTATTTATTAAGAAATTGATTTTTTTGCTTTATCTAATTGACATGCTTAATTGGGAATATTCTTTTAATTGGTCAGTAAATCATTTTATAGATTTGATTTGTCCCTGTTTAATCCATGTAACTTTTCATATTGTTGGTCTTTTGTAAAATCCCTAAATTATTAAAAATCCATTTCATAGTGTATTAAAATGCAATCAAAAATTAATTAAATCAAGACAAACATGACATTAATCATCAGAACAAATGTGCTCTGCAATAACGGCGTTTCATGTGTAAAATATTAAAACTTGCTTCCAAAACTTTTGTAACTTTAGATGTTTGTCTATTTATGTTCAAATAAATTTAATTTTAAATAAATAAGTTTCACTTGAAATAAATAAATAATTAACATTATTCATGTTCAAAAACAAGAAAAAGCTTTTTGCCAATGGAATAAATTCAAATATATTTTTAACTGGAAAATAAGAGAAAAATCTATTTTTTTGGCAGTAAATACATTTAAATTATTTCCATATTACCAAAATAATATTTTACACTACATCTTAAAATATCAGTATAATATATTTTTTTCACTTTACAAGACAAATAGATGATTTTGATTTTAAAGTGGCATTAGGCTCACCATGATCATAGGATCCTGCAGCCACAGGCGGATCAGGGTGGCCAGTGTGTAGTACAGGACCAAGAGCATGATGGGATTGACAAAATGGTGCCATTCCAGATTATGGTTGACAGCGAGCTTCCAGGTAGAGGAGCAGTCGGTTCGAACGATGGAGGAGATACCAAACACACTGTGGAGAAACATTCAACTGTTAGTGTTTTCATTACGCGGTGTTTTTAGCCTCTTCTTCTCTGGGAGAGAAATGATCACATGACCACGGCCCACTGTAAGGGAAAAACAGGAAGTGATGTCGATAGAAAAGGCTGTCAACGCTCTCATTCAACAGTCACGCAGATCTTTCATCAACTACAATTAGTCCACAGTCTTTTCCAACCAGAAACAACACACACACACACACACACACACAGGGCTGCTTCCACAGAAAATGAGAAAGAATAGCGGGATTATGGTATCTATTACTATTTATGAATCCCAGGGAAGTAGGTGAAACAGGCGGATAACTAAGAGTGTGTGAGTTTAATGAGTTTATCCGACCACAATGCACTTCTAACTTTGAGTCGTCTTAATTAACCTTGCCATCACGACCGCAATGCAAACCTTAAAAGCTGCGTTAAACATTGAATTGATTTGAAATCACTCAGAGAAACACATCAGTAACACACTTTCTTCACACTGCGACCATTAGAGCAAATAATATGTAGTGAACACATTTAAACAAGGCTGCTGGACTATACATAGAGCTAATGGCTTCACGCAGTCGATGGACTGATGCTGAGCGTCAAGGCCACGAGAGATCCGTCAGCACCTGCAGATCAGAAACGCCTCATAACCCGGCGCTTTACACTGCTCAGATCCAGAACACGGATGGGAATATCCGGTGAAGGACAGCTAGTGCTAAAATAAACAGTAGAGGTGTGTTTGTTGCAGCATTTTAAGGCATCGCAGGCATGCAGAACCGGCTCTAAAGCATCCATCCATCATGCTGACGCCGACGCAGAGCCACAAGATCAGGGAGAAACCACACTATTATTACGCTTGTGCTCAACTGCTGCCTTTTCCACTGATAAAGCAAATATTTTGAAATTTTACATCGATTTTTTGCATTGTGAGATTTTTTCACGATTAATCGCGATTAATCGCATCCAAAATAAAAGTTTGTGTTTACATAATATATGTGTGTGTAGTGTGTATTATTATTTTTAATACATAAATACCCACACATGCATGTGTATTTAAGAAATATTTGGATGTATATATTGTACAGGGAACTACACTGCGACCATTGCGACCATAATGCCATTGCGACCCTAATTTTTAAATGGGTCGCAAATGTATCACCGTTTGATTATTTTTGTACCTACCTAATGTTTTAGGCAATATGCTATGATTTACTATGAGCATTTATTAAAACAGAAATGTGTATTTTAAGAATACGTTTTATAACGCGCTCTGAGCATTCAACACATCAAGTTGGCTTCGCGGATTCGCGCTTGTTTAACTGAGAGAACGAGCAGAGAGAGTGAAAGCCCCAGTCGCGCGCGCGCTCTCTCTCCCTCCCTCGCTCATAATAATGAATTGAGTTGACTGAATATCTTTGAGAATACACGATGGTAAAAGGTCGGAAGACCGAAGTTTTTTTTTTTCTGAACTACCACTGGTTGTGAATTGTGCTAAAATAACGTTGCCTCATCTTCTCTGAAAAGCTTTCCACACATTCAGATGGCATAAACCACTCTTTCAATAAACAAAACAAAAAATATATCTGGTGATGAAATGTTTTCTGTGTTGAGACAAATCTTGTGCGATGTCCTAAACTGCCTGGATAATCACACAACGTGTGCCGTGGTCCGTTAATGACACGTCCGATTCGCGAACTGACTCCTTTGAACCGATTCACTTTAATGAATGGTTAAAATAACAACTGATCTGTCCAACACTGAACTCAAGAGTCATTCTAGAATTATTCATTCTTTCCAAGTAGAGCTATTCAAGTCATCTGGTGAAATTGTTTTTATATCGCAATATATATCGCAGAAAAATCAAATATCGCAATGTCATTTTTTTTACCAATATCGTGCAGCCCTACTGTAAATTCTGTGGGCCTTCAATTGCAGGACTGTCCAAATTTGTAACTGCGTCAAAACAATTCAAACACGAGTCATTGAAGCTTCACAATGACATATTATATTTATTTTACTTTTCCTTAAGAGTTCAGAAGTCTGCCCATCTGTGCCAACCATAGCATGGTGAAATCCAAAAGAAATTAATTTAGCACTTTATTGTGTAGGCTACTGTATTTTCTATTGCAGTAAATCTATCCCAACCATTTTTAAAGAAAACAAGAAGGCATGTGTTTTAAAAGATGGAGAGTAAAATAAAAAGCACATCTGTATGCAATACAGTTTCACTATTGGTCATTATTATCCAGAGCGGCTTACTATATAAATAATTTGTGCGACCAAATCATGTTTTGCGCTAGTAACTGAAAAAGTTAGTAGCGCAAGTGCCACCAGTGGAAAATGTTAGTGTAGTTCCCTGTTGTATATAGACTGAATGTAGCCTATATATAATGTATATATTTTATATAAATTTAATATTTTATATATAAATAACATATTTTTCTTAAATATATACATGTGTGCATTTATATACAAAATAATTATACACAGTACACACACATATATTATGTAAACACAAACTTTTATTTCGGATGCGATTAATCGTTTGACAGCCCTAATATTTATACATAATTAATATTATATATAAATATAAATATTTGATATATTAATCAACACGTTTTTCTTAAATATATACATGCATGTGTGTGTGTATTTATATATACAAAATAATTATACACACTGCAAACACATATATTATGTAAACACAAACTTTTATTTTTGGATGCGATTAATCGCGATTAATCGTTGCATTTTTTTTTTATGTTAGCAATAGTTGTATTTTTATTTGATGTATATTTTATATATTTTTCTTTTTAACATTTTTTAATGTGAACAACAATGAGAAGAGCATCCGCACAGAAACTTTTATCTTTCACTTAAAACTGTTACACTCATACAAACTCCGATCTTCTGGGCTTGACATACTCAGACCACTTTGTCCAGATTTTGTAAAACACAGGGCTGCCAACTCTCACGCATTCACCGTGAGACTCACGCAATTGAGCCAATTCTCACGCTCTCACGCCACACCCCCGATTTCTCACGCTGAAGTGTCAACCCAGTCGGTCAAATGCCTGAAAGATAAGTTTATCTATAGATCTACCAGTTGAGCCATTCGTGATCGAATAGTTTTACCGCAAATTAGTTAAAATATCCTGTAATCTATAGCGAGCGAGCGTGCATGCGAGACAGATGTGTTGAGCTCCTAACGGCGCGCTCCTAACCGCGCACGCGCACACGACGGCAGAGAGGTGATTAAGCGAGCTTGCGTGTCTTTCGCAACACAACCCAGTGGACAGTTAGACTGTATTGATACAGTTGAGAAATAATAATATTTTTACAGTTTTCAACAATAATTGGCATTGTTGAACCCTTGCTCTTATTATATTTCTGATTTCTCAGTTTTGTCATTATTTTAGCAAATAATTTATTTTATATGTTTTGAGACAGTTTGTTTGAAGAAGTTTTAAAGAGTTAGTAAAAGAGTAAAGTAAAAGTTAAAACTTTTTTATTTAAGTAGGCATCTATTGTTTATTAAGTAGGCCTATTTATTTTGTATTAATACATAACCTTACTGTATTCATTCATAATGTATCATTATTGCGTGACATTTGTGTCAATAATCGTCAAGCACAGGGGACTTCGCGTAGTGGGAGGGGGCCCCCAAATCAAATTCTGCTTAGGGCCCCCAAAAGGCTCGGACCGGCTCTGGAGACCAGACAGACAGTTTGAGTTTTTTGTGACAATTGTGAGGGAAATACACAATTTATTCCCATAAACTGTGTAGTCAGCCGTTCTCCCTCCCATCTGCACTGTGTGAAAGAATTGTGAACGCAGGCAGGTCAGTGAGTTACAGGGCGCTCCTTGTCTCCATCCAGTTTAGGCTGGTAACTAATAGGCCTGTTATATAGAATTAAGTTAGCAATAGCAGTTGTTTGTTTTGCAGCACTGAGCAGTTATTTTACATAACTTTATCATAAAAACAGTACAAAAGCATTTCCAGATGACAAATATCTGGACATGCCTAGTAGTTAATGTTAATTATTGTTTTCTAAGAACAGAATGTCAATTAAAATGTTAAATGTAAAATTAAATGTAATGTAAATCTCCCAAGAAATTATGTACAGATACCAAATACTTTGACAATCAATATATACTTAATACACTTCTGCTAATGCAAGGATTTTGTGTTTGTATTTTTCCCCACACCAAGCCACGCCCCTCAATAAGCCCCTCCCCCATAACCCAAGCCCCGCCCCCCAAAATCTCACTCTAAGCTGAACTCAAAAGTTGGCAGCCCTGAAAACATGTCTCTTTGATTATGAAAGTTTTTTCCATACTGTAGATGTCATGGATTATGTTGACCCACTCTTCTTCATAATATATTTTTATATTTATTTATATATTATTCAAATTATAAAGTACATTTATTCTACTGCCTTTATTTTTATTACAGTAAAAACATTAAGTTTTTTTCTATTACAATAATGAGAATATGTGGGAGATTAAGAATATTTTGCATTAAAAAATAATTATATATTATTCAAATTATTAAGTTTTTTTTAAAATAGACAGGATGATTTTTTTACAGTACAAAAATTAAGGTTTTTAAAGTAATTAATATTTATTTTTTCATTCATCCATACATGCATGAAATTTCATTTCATTTAATTTCAGTTGGTTTTATATACAGTACCAGACTTTTCTTCACAGAAAAATATTTAAATATGTATTAAATATAAAATAAACTGATTGCAGAATTATTATTCATTGTTTTTACACTACTTTTTAAAAGTTTGGGGTCATTTTATTCAGCAATGATGTATCAAATTGACAGTAAAGACATTTATAATGTTACAATATTATGATTTGTATCTGTTCAGTGAACAAACTACAGGTGAAACTCGAAAAATTAGAATATCGTGCAAAAGTTCATTTATTTCAGTAATTCAACTTAAAAGATGAAACTAATATATTATATAGACTCGTTACATGCAAAGTGAGATATTTCAAGCCTTTATTTGTTATAATTTTGTATTTGGGGATTTCATAAGCTGCAAGCCATAATCATCAAAATTATAACAAATAAAGGCTTGAAATATCCCACTTTGCATGTAATGAGCCTATATAATATATTAGTTTCACCTTTTAAGTTGAATTACTGAAATAAATGAACTTTTGCACGATATTATAATTTTTCGAGTTTCACCTGTATATCCAAAATGGCAGGAATAAGCAAGCAATTTTCATTTTAATTCAATTTTAACAAATCATTAAATGCTAAAAAAAAGTGTCCAGTCTAATTAAAAACATACTATATTACCCAATATTTGTATGTGCTATGGATTGTCATGTTTATTAGACTAGGCCAGGGCACTGTAAGTTTAGCAACGTCTACGCTACAATAATTAACACAAAAATATGGAATTACCTTAATGCATAATTTAACATTATAAAAATGTCTTGTTAATCGCATCATAAAAACTGCTGGATCTATTTCAGGAGGGTTATTACATAAATGATTGCGAAAGAACGAACGAGTGATTCCTTTGGCATACACACGCACACACACACACACACACACAACATTGAGCTGATATGCGTTTATGAAGCTACATTTATTTGACTCTACACTTCGACTCCAGGTCTTTTGTGGCCTGGCCTTTGTCAGAACATGCGATAACAGATGGGATACGGGATCTTTCATCTGTGCGCCGCCTGAACCCTGCGTGTCTATCAAAGCCCAGACACAGGATATTGGGCTGTGTTTTGCTGCAGGGCATGATGAGTATTTTAACACTCATTCATTATTTACAGTATGCTGCAGGTACAGATTAATATGCATATGATGACATTATACATATGACATATTATATGGTATTACTGGCACTGTCGTACAAACTTGCATTCAGAGTCCACTGATTTATAAATAATTAAAGAGGACCCTTTTGTGCTTTTTTACATGTTCATCTTTCTTTAGTGTGTAATGTTGCTGTTTTAAAGCTCTGCAAAGATACAGAGTCCCTCCAGCGGGAGTTCTTCTCTATATCAGTGTCAGTGTTTCTGAACTCCCTGAAACGCCTCCATTGTAGTCTTGAGTTTCTTACGAGAACGAACACGTCACAATTTTCCTCATTTAAATAATTTATACGCAGAATAAAGGGGCGGGGCCTGGTTGAGTTAGTTAGTAGTGTGTTGAAACTGGCGGTTATGGTAAGGGGCGGGACATTTCCGATTGACCAATCACAACACACTGCTCCAGCCGACCAATCAGAGCACGGTGTGCTTTTCAGAAGGAGGGGCTTCATAGAGACAGGAACTAAACAGAGCGTTACTGACAGACTGGGAAGAGAGGAGCCGCAACAATGGAGAATATGTGAAAAACCTGTTCTAGTAGAGCCCAAAAACAAAATCTAGACTTGGCATAATACGCCCTCTGTGGAGCAAGTTTTTTGCATGAGATAGATTTGACAACAGTTATTAAAAAGGATTGTCTCTGACCCTCAGTGGCCATTTCTCCAAAGCCAAATCTGGATGAACAAACAATTGAAAGTGCAAAAAATAGAACATGTTTATCATTGCATGATATATACTGACATACTAGATATAATATTAGTACTAAGCATTCTGCAGAGCCCGTCTCTGACCTGACGTAGCTGTCGTTGGGCCTGATGGCCTCCTGGAGGAACTGGAACTGGTTGGAATAAAGAACGATGAGATGACCAGCGCTGAAGATGGCCATGAGAACACACAGACAGCTGAAGAGGAGCTTGTCGAAGGTCTTGCAGAGCGACCACCACGTGCACAGACCCAAGAACACGAAGAAGTAGACGGCTGACGTCAGGGAGGGGAGCATGATACCTGGAGACCAGAGCACGGACCGTTTTAGACTGACTGTTGGCTTATGGGAGATTAAAGAATTTCAAATAAAGAATCAAAATGTATCACGGTTTCCACAAGCAGCACAACTGTTTTCAACATTGATAATAATAATCTTAAAAGACAACTCCGGCGCAAAATGAACCTTTGGTCTAATAAAACATTGGTACCTAGTCAACCGTTCTCTGAGATTTGTTTTCATGATAATCGAATGTAAAGAGTTTTATCTCTAAAAACTGTTTAGCGTATAATGCTAGTAATGGGGGCATTTAATAAGTAAAAAGAAATCGCTAGTTTATACCACTAACAAGACTCAAAATAGCCCAACACTAACACAGTAACATAATGAGGCTCCCTGCATGCAAAACGAAGCATTGAGAACTTTGTAAGTGTACAGACCGTTTAATAAGAAGATATTTTATGAAGACAGTCCACTTCGTGTATACAGACAGGAGCCATCTTTGGAAAACAGTCTCGACTAATCAAACCACGAACGACGTGCTAAGTGAGCTGAACTGTATGAAGTTCAGTGAACTTCTGAACTGTATGAATGGCGTTCGTGGTTTGATTAGTCGAGACTGTTTTCCAAAGATGGCTCCTGTCTGTATACTCGAAGTGGACTGTCTTTATAAAGTATCTTCTTATTAAACGGTCTGTACACTTACAAAGTTCTCAATGCTTCGTTTTGCATGTAGGGAGCCTCATTATGTTACTGTGTTCGTGTGGGGCTATTTTGAGTCTTGTTAGTGGTATAAACTAGCGATTTCTTTTTACTTATTAAATGCCCCCATTACTAACGTTATACGCTAAACAGTTTTTAGAGATAAAACTCTTTACATTCGATTATCATGAAAACAAATCTCAGAGAACGGTTGACTAGGTACCAATGTTTTATTAGACCAAAGGTTCATTTTGCGCCGGAGTTCTCCTTTAAGAATGATTCTTGAGCAGCAAATCAGCATATTAGAATGATTTCTGATTGATCGGCTGGTGACCGGAATTGGCCGATTTTCACGTGATCGGCCATGATCGGCGACCGGCCGGCCAGTCTGACTTATGCCGATTTTATGCCGGTCAAATGCACTCGGGCGCCGCATGATTAACATCGCGCAGCATCACACGTGCGCACGGAACGCACATGTAGGAAACCTTGTGAATTACGGCCGTTTCACACCGCAAGCGTGAGCGGTGCACATTTTTTCCGGCGTGCATGTTAATCAACGAGTGCATTAACAGCGGGAGCAGGAGCGTCGCATGAGTAGAAGTGAAGCGGTTTCGGTGCCGAGTCTATTTTTGCTGCGCTGCTCACGCTCAATTAAAGTGAAAGCACAGAATTTGCATGTCTAGTGTGTATTAACAAGAACTGGAGTAGGCTATGTCAGAAATTAAAATGAAAACTCTTTATAGAAAATATTTTATAGAAAATGTACCCATTTAAACTTGTTTATATTATTCAGTTTGGGTAAAAGTATATGGTGTTTTATAAATAAAAAAATATATAGAAAATAAATATTTGTGTTTAAAAAAAAAAAAACTGGTTATAAAAAATAAAATCGGAATCGGCAGGTCAAACTCAATGGAAATCGGAAATCGGAATCGGAAATCGGCCTAAAAAATTGTACTCGGTGCATCTCTAATTTCTGAAGGATCATGTGACACTAAATATTGGAGTAATGATGCTGAAGATTCAGCTTTGAACTTTTGAAAGGTAGTTCACGTTAAAATTTGACCTATCCACACCTGTTAATCCCAGGAGAATGGTGACCACCACTTGTCCAGCGGTCGTGATGAGGTTACCGATGATCTCTTTGAGTTTATTTGCCAGTCCTGCCACTCTGCGCAGAATCTTCATCTTTGTGCTCTCCTGCACCTCTTCCTCCTCCTCCTCCTCCTCTTCCTCATCCACACCTTCTCCGTCACGCTCCTCTTCCTCTGCCTCATCCTCTGCATCAAAGTCCTCATCAAACACCATTTCATCATCTTCATCATCATCATCGTCGTCATTTTCCACCTTTTCGTCAATCTCCTCCTGCGTCTGATCAGAGAAAACAAGACTCATGCACATTTATTGTTTAAATGAAAAACACATATGAACAACAACATTTGTCCAAATCTGCATTATACAAGCCAAGCAAGCAGTTTGGACTTAATTGAGAAATGTACTAATCATTTCTGAGTGAATATTGTTTGCACCACCAGCTGCCTTTTTTCCGAAGCCAAATCTGGATGAACAAACAATTGACAGTGCAAACATAGAACAACAAACATTATTTTTTTAAATGTTTATCATTGCATGATATATACGGTCTGAAATACTAGATATAATATTAGTACTAAACGGTATGCAGTACGTGGCATAGTAGTCCATTTCGAGAACATTTCTCTGTTTAAGTGCTGTTGAATCTGGTTTAGATTAACTCTGATCTCACACACAGATTCACAAATAAACAATAAGGCCCATCTAGCTTTAATGGCTCCATATGTATGGCCTTCAGCACAGGAAACATCTTCCTGCTCACAGTAGCACATACTGCTAAACACCCGTAAACGTTTAGCTACAGCATGAAGCAATTCTTTAAACCTCTAGTCTTAAGTTTCTCACTTTATTTATGTCTCCTAGTATTACAGCTCATCATCCTTAAAACAAAATGCAGGATAGATGGATTGATGGATGGATGGATAGATAGGTGGATGAATGGATAGGTGGATGGATGATGGATGGATGGATGGATGGATGATGGATGGATAGATAGGTGGATGAATGGATAGGTGGATGGATGATGGATGGATGGATAGGTGGATAGATGATGGATGAAAAGATGGATGGATGAATGGATAGGTGGATAGATGATGGATGAATAGATGGATGGATGAATGGATAGGTGGATGGATGATGGATGGATGGATGGATGGATGAATGGATGATGGATGGATGGATGGATAGGTGGATGGATGATGGATGGATGATGGATGGATGGATAGATAGATAGATAGGTGGATGAATGGATAGGTGGATGGATGGATGATGGATGGATGAATGGATAGGTGGATGGATAATGGATGGATGGATGGATGGATGGATGGATGGATGATTGGATAGGTGTATGAATGGATAGGTGGATGGATGATGGATGGATAGGTGGATGGATGACGGATGGATGGATGGATGGATGGATGGATAGGTGGATGAATGGATGGATGGATAGGTGGATGGATGATGATTGGATAGGTGGATGAATGGATAGGTGGATGGATGATGGATGGATAGGTGGATGGATGATTGGATTGGTGGATGGATGGATGGATGGATGAATGGATGGATAGGTGGATGAATGGATGGATGGATAGGTGGATGAATAGATAGGTGGATGGATGATGAATGGATAAGGTGGATGGATGATGAATGTATAGGTGGATGGATGATGAATGGATAGGTGGATGGATGGATGGATAGGTGGATGGATGATGAATGTATAGGTGGATGGATGATGAATGTATAGGTGGATGGATGATGAATGTATAGGTGGATGGATGATGAATGGATAGGTGGATGGATGGATGGATAGGTGGATGGATGATGAATGGATAGGTGGATGGATGATGAATGGATAGGTGGATGGATGATGAATGGATAGATGGATGGATGAATGGATGGATGGACAAATAGATGGATGGATGGGTGGATGAATGGATAGGTGGATGAAGGGAGAGATAAATGGATAGGTGGATGAATGGATGGATGGATAGGTGGATGAATAGATAGGTGGATGGATGATGAATGGATAGGTGGATGGATGATGAATGTATAGGTGGATGGATGATGAATGGATAGGTGGATGGATGGATGGATAGGTGGATGGATGATGAATGGATAGGTGGATGGATGATGAATGGATAGGTGGATGGATGATGAATGGATAGATGGATGGATGAATGGATGGATGGACAAATAGATGGATGGATGGATGGATGAATGGATAGGTGGATGGATGAATGGATAGGTGGATGAAGGGAGAGATAAATGGATAGGTGGATGAAGGGAGGGATGGAGAGAGGGGGTAAGCAGAAGGATGTTGAATGCCTCAGAGCCACTATAAAAAGTTTGGGAACCACTGATCTAGAATATACTTATGATCTGCTTTACGAGTCTATTCTAACAACTTGCCTTTCCTCGTCCTATCACATAAACCTGTTCTCATAAAACAGTGAGTTTTGTAAGATTTTCTCTGGGAAAACAAAAATTTGGAAAGCTTTTACTGGGATGGGATCAAAAAAAATTTGATTATGGGATTTCACACATAAAGTTCTTTAACAAGACTTCTGCTGCTGGTTGGCACGGCATGCAAACTTTCATTCATCCAATCATAATCATGTAAGGGATCATGTACAGTCACTGTTGCAGAATAAACATATTCTTTTTTTTAGATAATGAATGGTGAACTGTACATTATCCTGCTGATTGACTGTTTTTGAGTTGAAAATATTTTATTATGTGAGAAGAATGAAGGTATGGACCCTACACCTACTCCAAACACTACCCGTTAAACACCGTATTCCCACTATTATATAATCTTAAAACACATTATTTCTACTTTTCAAATATTTTCATAATTTTTATTTTAAAATAAACACGTCTCCTAACAAACATGCGATGGGAAAAGGGAAAAGAATGAGTTCAGAATGCGGATTTGAACTCGGGTTTGTCACATGATTTGTGTGTCTTACACTCCAGCGGGGTTTCATCTTCCAAACACATATGAATCTTTCTGATGAAATCTGGGAGATTTCTGTCGCTCCATTGACAGCTACGCATCTACCACTTTAACGCCTCAAATAGTTCATAAAGAGATCGTAAAACTAATCCGTATGAATTGAGCGGTCAACATTTTCTGAAGTGGTAGTTGCTTAGACTGTCAATTGAGGAACAGAAAGCGGTCAAATTTAATAAAAAATATCTTCATTTGTGTTTCGAAGATGAACGGCAGTCTTACGGGTTTGGAACGACATGAGAGTGAGAAATTAATGACAGAATTTTCATTTTTTGGGTGAACTAACCCTTTAAAGGGATACTCTACTGGTTTTTCATATTAAACTATGTTATTCCCTTAACTAAGACGAATTGATACATACCTCTCTCGTCTCAGTGCGTTCACTACCTCGCTGTCTTGCGGCGAAACTTTGTTAGATCTTATCTCAGCCCTGTTCATTCAATACGGGCCAAGCAGAGAAGCGACCAAACACCTCCACGTTTTCCCTATTTAAATACAGTGACACGAGTAGTGTAACTCGACCTAGGACGGTGACACAAAATAAAACGTTGCGCTTTTCTAAGCGTGTAAAATGGATAACTATATTGTATGGCAGAATACCATAGCAAGTGCTTGGGAGCACTTCGACTCGGCGCAGTAATATCATCTCTCGTGAAATGAGAGGGAGGAGGAGAGGGAGCGGGGGGAGAGGATTTTTCACGAGAGATGATATTACTGCGCCGAGTCGAAGTGCTCCCAAGCACTTGCTATGGTATTCTGCCATACAATATAGTTATCCATTTTACACGCTTAGAAAAGCGCAACGTTTTATTTTGTGTCACCGTCCTAGGTCGAGTTACACTACTCTAGTAATAAATAGGGAAAACGTGGAGGTGTTTGGTCGCTTCTCTTCTTGGCACGTATTGAATGAACAGGGCTGAGATAAGATCTAACAAAGTTTCGCCGCAAGACAGCGAGGTAGTGAACGCACTGAGACGAGAGAGGTATGCATCAACTCGTCTTAGTTAAGGGAATAACATAGTTTAATATGAAAATCCAGTAGAGTATCCCTTTAAGTAACATTAATAATACAGTATTATTAAGTTAAAGTAGCTCAGCAGATAGAGTTGAGTTTGATAAATTGATAAAACAGACAAATTATTATTATTATTATTATTAATAGAATATATAAATATATATAAAATATAATATATATATATATCATTATAATATAATATAATATAATAGAATATATAAAAATAACAACACCCTAATTATATGATACTTGTTTATATAAAGTGCATGTGTGTGCGTGAACGCAGGCCTATCCATCAGTGCTGGGAAGGAAAGTAAGTTCCATGATCATTGTGTTTGTTATGCGTCAGACTGCAGCCCAGTAAACCCATCAGCAGAGGTGACAGCTAAACTGGTGTCTGGAGAGCACATGTTCTCGGTGTGTGTGTGGAAGCAGGAGTGTGTTTGAGTCCTCTGACACACCTTCTCCTCGGGCTCGAAGTCGTGGTTGTCCTGGGCCATGTCCACACTCGGACGCGTGTGAACCAGTTTCCGGCACAGCAGCCACACGGACAGGCTCGCCATGAACATCCCGATATCTGGGAGGAAAACTCGGATCCCATTGCCTGCATCTGCACCAATAACACTACAAACACACACACACACACACACAGAGAGAGAGAGAACAGATTAACACACAGTACAGTCACAGAGCCTTCGGTTACACTTTATTTTAAGGTGTCATTGTTACAGTGTAATTATATCTTTAAATACGGAGTAATATTAAGCTACCACATGCACTAACTATAGGGTTAGGTTAGATTTAGGATTTGGTTGAGGTTTAGTTGCACGTAATTATGCATAATTTACTGTTATTACTATGGTAAGTAGATGTAACATACAGTATGTAACAAGGACACTGTAAAGCCTTCTTTTAATGTATATTGATTATTGTTCAACATGCATCTTTCTTTAACGAATGTTCCAGCATTCACATGAATCTGTTACAGGTAATCGTGACTATAACAAACAAACTACCGTCGCCAGAATTCCTATTAAACCACACGCCATCTGTGAGAGGCGGAAAACATTTGTGAGAATGCCGTTTTTCCAAACATTTTCCAGTTTGAGCTTCTTACACATCTGTTGTGTGCTAAAATACGCCGTTTATATGCTTCCCCACCCAGTTCAATAAAATCTGCCTCGCACCATATTAAAAGAGTATAAATATTTCTCATAAAACACATACTGGGTTCTTCTGAAACTCACACAACAGTGAAATTAAGTCTTTCTCAAAGTGCCTAGTCTGTGTCAGGTTGATTCAGTCTGAACAGGTTCGAATCAGTTTCACCGTCATTCAGACAATCATGCCATTATTAAGCCCTAAAGGGAAACATATGGTGAATACAATAACCTCAGATGTATGGAATGATTGATGTGCTTATACAATATATAGCCTCTTCCAGTTAGAAAGAACACTAAATGTTGCTCCAGGTGCACTAAAGCATTTATTATGCATGCATCTAGAAATACAACAGAGATGCATGACTTAAAACTAGACATCACAAGATGTGTTTGATACAGTCCAGGAGGAAAAATAGGTTTGAGTAAAAAGCTTATTTACAGGATTTGCACCAACCTTACCAGTGTATCAATTAAAAAACAAAACTCATTGGGATTCAAACATTCAATTTACAAAAAAATGAAAAGCCTAGATTTAATTTTAGCACTACTAGCATGTTTTTTGTTTTTTTGTCTAAAGTAAATTTTTCTTTCATTCCAAACTTGTGATCAATTCTTTAATGAGCTCTTTGTTTCTGCCTAAACTAACTGTATGATTTGTATTATCTTAGAGCTGTATATTTTGGACAAATGGCGCATTTGACACACAAAAAACACATTATGAAAAATCTGGTTTAAACGGTGAACCTTTAATATTAATACTTCTCACACATATGAACGATTTATTTTTAAAACTGTATTTAACAGCTATTTTTAACCATTTGTTTGAAAAAAAATAACAGTATTGTAACTTAAAACTTCAATTTTTTTCATTTAAAATGGTAACAATTTTTGGTAACACTTTAATTTAAGGTGACATACCGGTAGTTACACGTTATGTACTTACTGTGATAATAACAGTACTTAAGTACATGTACTTACTGTGATAATAACAGTACTTAAGTACATGTACTTACTGTGGTAATAACAGTAATTACAAGTAACTAACCCTAAACCAAACCCTAACCGTAACTCTATAGTCAGTACATTACTAATACTCAGTGCTTATTTGAGTAAGTACAAGACTACCATGTCACCTTGCAATGAAGTGTAACTGATTTTTATTTTATTTGAAATGTTTTTGTATTACTTTTGTGTGTTTTCCTGAAGCTCAAACCATGTGTTTGATTCCCAGCGGTATTAACATTCTTAAACTGATAAAAATGTACACCTTCCTTCAACACAGTGTACATTTCTTTGGATAGAAGTGTCTGCCACATGCATAAATGTACATTTAAATACTCCCAGAGGGTAGTTAAAAATTTTAACCACGAAATTGCGGGTCAAAATGACTCGAAAACATCGAAATTTTGTACACGCCTTCCACAACACCTCAGGGTGTCAAAACTTTGCAGGCATGTTCATAACTCTAAATGAAAAACAGTCACAAAATTAAATATATATCAATATATATCCTCGGTTATCCAGTATTTCCGGAAACTCGATTTTGTGTTTCGGGTCAAAATGACCCGCAACATAATACAAGGATTAAGAAATCTCTGCCTCTTTCACCAAAATGTTTGCTTGTAACAATGAATTTCAGACCCCAAACATCCACTTCACAACTTATTCCTGCATCAACTCCATGCATTGCGCTCATGTGATTGACATCACGGGCCGTTATGTCACAGATAAATGCCTTCGCTCAACTAACAGGTCACTTAGGAGTATAAACAGTTTACAGCTGAACTTCCGGCCACTTATGAAGAATCGAGCCATCCGACCAGCGCTGCTTGGAAAAAGGTGCAGGTCGAGATTCCCGCACTCAGAAAACCACACTTAATAGAATCACAGTCAGGCCAGAGCACACAAACATCAGGCCAGTGCACACAAACATCAGGCCAGAGCACACAAACATCAGGCCAGAGCACACAAACATCAGAGTAGGCTTTGAGGAATCGGGCTGTCAACAGTGGGTTCAGGTTTAATTGTGTTTAGCGTTCCTCATGGAAACCGGCTGGTGGACGGCAGACATCTGGCCGCAGTGTAAGTGGAGAGTAATGTTATCTGTCTCTGTTTGCTGAAGTACTTAAAAACACTTAAAAACTCATCCCTGCAAGCTTATTACACGCTTTTAAGGGATTCTACAAACAAGTGATAACAAGTGATATCCTCACAGTATCGTACCAGAAAACCAGTTGCTTTAGGCTGAACTTCTCAAAATGTTCATCTTTAAATGGGTCAGTTATTATTTTGACTTACACTACCGGTAAAAAGTTAGAAAAAATAGTCTTTTATGCTCACCAAGGCTTCATTTATTTGATTAAAAATACAGTAAAACAGTGAAATATGATTACAATTTAAAATAACTGTTTTCTATGTGAATATATTGTGAACTGTAATTTATTCCTGTGATCAAAGCTGAATTTCCAGCATCATTACTCCAGTCTTCAGTGTCACATGATCCTTCAGAAATTATTATCTGAATTATTATTAATGTTGGAAATTAAAGGTTTTTTTTTAATATATAACCTGTGATACTTTATTCAGGATTCATTGATGAATAAAAAGTTAAAAAGAACAGCATTTATTCATCTAACAGCACAATTTAAATATTTAATGTCACTTTTTATCAATTTAATGCATCCTTGCTGAATAAACGTATTAATTTCTTTAAAACAAAAACTACATTTTGAACAGTAGTGTAGAATATTTGTTACAAAAATGTCAATTTTGAATACATGTTGTTCTTTTTAATTTTTAATTTATCAATGAATCTTAAAAACAGTATTACAGGTAATAAAAACAAAAAGCGCAGCACAACTGTTTACTACATTAATAATAAATCATCATATTATACTGATTTCCAAAGGATCATGTGACACTGAAAACTGGAGTAATGATGCTGAAAATTCAGCTTTGATCACAGAAATAAATTACATTTTAAAATACATTCAAATAGAAAACCATTATTTTAAATCTTAATAATATTAAGTTATTATAATATAAAATTTAACTGTTTTTTTTCTGTATTTTTGATCAAATAAATGCAGCCCTGGTGAACATCTTATTTCAAATACATTTTTAAAAAATCCAAACGACCCCAAACTTTCAAACAGCAGTGTAGCTTTAATTTAAATGAAAGTATCATAATTTACCATCAATTCCCTCAGTGTGAAAAATGAACCAGAAGGAAGTATGAACCAGACACTTGTTAAAAGTTAATATACTGTATAGCACTACATTTTGATTAATATGATAAGCAACATAAAGAGTTCATGTGACACTGTAGCATTTGACTGCTTATAATGTGCATCATTGCATTGTTTTTACATATCATTTTTAAAAATAAACTATGTACTGTATATTATATATACCATTCCCAATATAGCCAATGACACAAAATGACTGTACCATCCACAATACCTTCTCGTTTCCCCTCAAAGCGTTCAATAAAAACTGAATCGATAATCTGGGATGTTTTTGTAGTGCTTGTTGTAGGTTTAGTGTCTGCTATAAAAAAAGTAGTTGTAAAAGACAGGCCAAAAGATTCCACTTCAGGCAGTAAAAACATTTTCAATTAAAAACCTTTCAGCAATGTGAGAGTTTGATAAACAGGCATGAAATGAAACATTCATAAAATGTTTCTCAGGCAATTTATAGGCCGGCAATTAAAACAAGCGCTTTGGACTCACCTCTCGAAACCAATCTGTCGTATTGACTTCTCCCACACCGAACCTGGGAAATAGAAAAGATAAAGCTTTACTAGCCATTGTATAGAGTTTTCCAGCACACTGACTTTGAAAGCACAGAAAGATTAAGCGATAACCACCAGCGCCGAGGGCTGTCATTAAACAATGACAAGAGCAAGGGTGAATTTCCTTATCAAGCGACAGGGTCACTGAAGGTCATCTCTGCACTACTTTGAGGAAGAGGGAGTTAATGAGTCTATGATGATTAAAGCAACACCAAGTAGCTTTTCCTCTGCGGTCGCCCTACAGGTTGGAAGCGGAATTGTCCATTACCGCTGTTGTAAATACTTTGTAAATTCTGTTTATCAGCACCGGCTTTGGAATGAACGATGTCCACAGACAAGGTAGAGTATGTTGCATGATTGCATGAAAGTATGATGTATTGCGACATCAGAAACGAAGAAAAACGAAATAATGACTAGTGTAACGCTTGACGTAAAGCATACAAATTTGAAACTACAGTTCTCATTAGAACTACAGAAACGCGACCCGATCTGGCAATTTTACATAGCGTGGTTATAGCAGATATAGGACCGCAAAGCGAATCCAGAAGTGCCTTTCACCCTGTTACGACTTAATGAACCACTGAAACCATTTTGGAAACATTATTTTCAGGTAAAAAATCTTACTTAGTGTTGCTTTAATGTGACGAGACGACACGAGACCTTTAAAAAGAGCAAGACACTATATTTAAAGAGAACCGCTCTTCTAACTTCAATTACTCTTTGCTCTTTCCTCTTGAACTTATTTAGCTGATTTCTAAGTTAATTAAAAAATAAAAACAAAAATGTATAAATAAATAAATACATAAAAACATCAACTGATACCAATATAGTCCTATTGATACAATTAATGCATTTTTTAAAAATATATCAACCATTTTTTAATTCAACCAAAATAATAATAATAATAATAAATAAAATAATTCTAGAAAGATTTATAAAAACAAACATAAATACATAAAAATGTACTTGTATTAATTTGATCAATATGACTATATTGGTATATTTATTTAACAATATACCAACCATTTTTTTATTCAACCAAATTCAAAAAATAAAAATAAGAATAATTAAAGATTTTTGTTAAATTAAATTATACATACATATACATATAAATCCAAATATTAACTGACACCAATATTGTCATATTGATATAATTAATACATTTATTTAACACATATATCAACCTTTTATTTAATTAAACCAAATTAAAAGACTTAAAATAAACAATTAAAAGTTAAATAACCAATTAAAATAACTTTAAAATAAAAAACTAAACAATAATTTAAAAATATATATCAAAAGATCACATTAAAGGCAGGGTAGGTAAGTTTGAGAAACTAGCAGAAAACTGCTGGATTTTGAAAGTATCCAACAGAGAAACTCCTCCCTGAATTACACATATGATGTTTGTCAATTTAAAAGATAATTATGAAAGTCAAGAAAGTCGCAGTTTGTCATGAAACAGAAGAGTAACATTTAGTTTTATGTGAAAATCGCTCAATGAACTACATCTCCCGGGAAGCGAAACAACGAGCGAGATCCGCTGCTCGTGTGTGTGCAGTCTGGTACAAAACACTCAGGCGTGACGGCGTAACGTTACGATTATAACGTAAGACTATAGAAACAATGACAGACGTTAGCTTCAGTAAAGTTAGCTTCAGTAAAGTTAGCATCAGTAAAGTTAGCTTCAGTAAAGTTAGCTTCAGTAAAGTTAGCTTCACTCATTGAGAGAAAATGTGCGCCTTTTGGGTTTGTAGTCTTTGTAATTACGTATTTTCACAGTCTTATACCTCAACAGTTTCACATCAAACTGCGACTTTCTTGACTTTAAAATGTATCTTTTAAATTGACAAACATCATATGTGTAATTCAGGGCACAATTCAAACGAGATCAAAATATTTGTTGTCTCTCGCCATTGACTACCATACAATATTTTTCCGAAATAAGGTCCCATGGTGGTCGACCGGAAGGAGAGGGGCTTAGGCTCTCTATTGTGAGACTTCCTAGCTTCCGGCCGATTCGTGCCTCTCCTCTTTCGAAATGAGCGAGTCAACCGGGCGCGCCAATGTGGGCGGCTCCTGTAGCAGCAGGGGTGGTTGCCATGGTAGCGAGGGAGAGTGACAGTCGCCCAGCCAATCATTTCATTCATCCCGAATGTGTTTATTGCAGCCCTGAGAGGACTACAGACACTCGATTTTTATACTCTCCTTTTCAGAGTACTTACATTTTAGATATGTATTGGTATATAAAGACAGTTTAAACAAATTTGGGGAAAAGTGTTTTAGAAACAAACTGCCGTATACCCTGCCTTTAACTGATAGTCATATTGATATAATTAATACATTTATTTAACATTGGTATATTTTAAGTTGCTGTGCACACTTAAGCTGTAGACTTTACTATGGTAAAGGGGGTTTTAGCACTTTATGTCTTGCCTAACAACACCTCTTAACATGGTAAAATCACCATAGAGCCTATTGCTTTATGTGTATTTGATTTGATTTTAAAAGGGACAGTGCACATCAACTGACATAAGCACTTGTGTCTGACATCCGTAAAGTCAGCTCAACTTAGATGTGTCTGTATTATTTACAGTAATCACAAATCAATACGTCCGACTGTGTTTCTTAGCAGATTAGGAGAGTCATTAGGTATTGAACAGCCTTAGAGACTGAAGTACAGTTACAGACGGGACTCAATATCACACCAATATAACGTCGACAACAAACCCACTGGGAAGAACGCGAATGTTAAGAGGATCTATTTTCAGAAAGCAAAAGGAAAAACAAAACACATCCCCAATTTCTACAAGACAAATGGATGTCATTAAGGAGGATCGAAACCTTTCAAACGTCACGGTCAAAATTCAACCATTCATTCTAAACACCATTATTAATATGACTAATGATAATCACATGTAGGAGATAGTTAGACACAAAGTTGACTTAAATGTGACACTGTAATAAATCTAACTGATATGATTATGAGTTTACTATATTATGATGGACACCCAGACATACTTTATTAAGTTCAAATTTCAGGACAGAAATAAAAAGCTGAAATATGAATATGATTAAAAATATGATTATGAGTTTACAATATTATGATGGACACCCAGACATACTTTATTAAGTTCAAATTTCAGGACAGAACTAAAAAGCTGAAATATGAATATGATTAAAAATATGATTATGAGTTTACTATATTATGATGGACACCCAGACATACTGTATTAAGTTCAAATTTCAGGACAGAACTAAAAAGCTGAAATATGAATATGATTAAAAATATGATTATGAGTTTACAATATTATGATGGACACCCAGACATACTGTATTAAGTTGTCAGGACAGAACTAAAAAGAAAGTGTCTAAATAAAACAAAATGTCGACTCATCCGCTCTGAAAAGGGTTATAAAGGAAAGGTGAAGCGCTTTGTCATTCCCAGAACCAGTAAATAGTCTTCAGTCTCTGTGGGACGTGAGTAATGTCTTCATTGTTCAGACGGGAACAATTGGAGGGTAAAGACAAATCTAAGTGGCACATTTCCCATAATCCTCTCTCACGGTTATTTAAAGTCAAGCTTGCGGCGAGATAGACGAAACATATCTTCATGATTTGACACACACACACACACAACTTTTCCAGTATTGCATTAAAAACTGGGCCTGAGAAACCCTGTTCATGCGGGATACACAGTGTATATTCATAATTTGGTATTTCTTTCAAGGTTCATTATTGGCATATGTTTTTCTGCATACAATATTTATGTATCACACTTAAGCCAGAACCTTGAACCTTGATAAATGGTCATTTTTAGCTGGTTTGGAGGTTATAAATGTCTATATCTCGATCTAATGTCCCCCTTTGCCGGCTGTCAGAGAAAAATATTGTCAGTTCATCTTAATTCGACCGGTCCATAATTCACGCCTGGCAGTAAAATGATAAAATAAGCGTGGTCAGCAGAAGGAGGTCAGTGGAGCGATGAAGGTCAGAGGTCAGTGACCCCTGAGCACGGCTCTGTCCTCCTTTCAACAATGAAGAAGAGGTCTTTATTCCCAGTGTGAAAGACTAAGGAGGGTTGGGTTTGTTCTTCTGATGTGTGACCAACTTGCTCAAAACTGTTCCTAACTTGATATGATAAGCTATTAAACCGTTCATGAGGCATGAAGAGCCGTTTCAGTCACACACACGTCCATAAAGCTTATTGTCTGGGACCTCTATGAGCTAAAAAAGTTTTACAGTCATATGCCATAAGAGTGAATTTCACAAACATGTCCAGGTCAAAATGTCACTCAAAAAAAAAAAAATTTATAAAATATATTTTATTATATATATATATATATATATATATATATAAATACCATTAATTTTATTATTAAATATATTTTATTATATATGAAAAAATAAACTGAAAAAAAATATATATATATAAAATATTAAATAAAATGTATTTTTATTATAAAATATATTTAATTATATGTTAAAATAATTTATCAATAGTCAACTTTTTTTTATTAAATAAAAGATACATAAAATAAAATATAATAATACAAAATAATGGTCATTTTATCATTGTACTGCCAACAATCTAAAATTAAATAAAATAAAAAAATTAAATACAAATTAAATTGAATAAAATTATTTAAAATAAAATAAAAAATTAATTCAACAACTTTTGCCATACCAGTAGAAAGTAATAATTCTACTAGCACAACTTTCCAGTCATCAACACTGACATAACATGATCAGTTGATGACACTTTATTATGGAGCATGAACGTATGGAAACCTTGATGACGGATAAAGTAAGGAAGTGTAACTTACAGTTGAAGTCAGAACCGATGTTTTCTCTAGCCAGCAAACTGTGGATTGTGATTTGATAGACGATGTGGATGAAGAGGAAGCTCATACTGCAGAAGCATAAAGACATCAGCAAGCGCCCCGTGTGGCCTGGAGGAGAAACAGCAACACAACAACCGTTAGGTTCAGTCCGTTCTTCCCTGTGGTTCTTACGTAGAGCCTCTGGTTCTTCTGATTCGTGTCGGACATTTACTGTTCGTTTTCTCACACAAACCGCTCGTTTCGTGTCTTAGGCTATCAATGTGTACTTACATTTACGAGTCATTAAATCATGTTTAATTTGGACTTCTCTGTGCATGCTCTTTGAGGTGGTGACCATAGACCTGCATTATATGACTGACAGACAAGAACGGTTTGACCTAAAAATATCAAAATTGAAACTACTGCGGAAACAAAGACACCTACATCTTGGATGCCCTTGAGGTAAGCTAAAACATACCAAAATTTATTTCAAAGTGAACTATCCCTTTAAGTCTGTAAAACCAATAACGTTGATACCGTATCTTTGACGGTAAAGTTCTGGTAACCACAGCTGCCAGTTTTTTTCCGTAAAAACAACGGGATTTTTTTTACAGTGAAGACATTGTGATGTCTGTTTCAAAAACTGACCACTGAGATGAACCTGTCTTGCGAAGTGCACAGTGCCTGAAAACATAACATTTCTAGACTTCTGGAAATAACAGAAATACATAAATAAACAAATAATGAATGCGAAAAATAAATAAATATGCACATTTCAAGAAGTTCACGCTCAACAGCACCTCTAGGGTCATCATGGCCACCAAGCCGACACAGTGTGCAAAATCCATGAAAAGCGTCTCTACTGCTTTTTGCTATAAATTCGTGCACTTTTGTCCATTCCGGATTAAATTATGGAGCTAATAATATGACAAAATGATTTGAATTTGAATTTTTTGCAAGTGAAATCTAACAAAATTGAATTTTAGGTGGTAGTTTAAATAGTTCTGAATTTGATTTTTTTAAACGAATATTGAACATTTGAAATTTAAAGGTGCATTGCGCACCTCTCTGAGTTTTTGCAGTATTATGCCCCCCTCTGGCGACAAGCGAAACTGCCTTACTGTCTTTGTCTTGCGTGGAGTTTGCGTTGGGATTTATGAACTACAAGCCGGTCTCTTTGAATCCATCTTCTACTTTTGTCGAAAGTTGACTGAAGTTTTGTCGCTCGAGTTGTCTTCGCTAATACGGAGAATGGCGGCGAATACACAAACCATAGCCAGGTGAGCGTGAACGCGCATGACGTCACGCCCAGTCTCACGTCCCGAATCCCTCTTATTTATTTTACTGTACAGGATTATAGAGGCAATCGCAGTGATCAGAGAAGGGCTCGTTCAGCCCATCAGGCAATTGTTGAAGCATGTATGGGTTAGAAAAACGGGTATTTTTAACATGAAATGTTGCGCAATGCACCTTTAACAAATTTAAATATTTTTATGGCTGAATTTTATAGACATGTATTTTTAAACAGCTAGTTTTTTTGTTCTGAATTCAAATACTGCAAATATTCAGTTTAAAAAAATACAGATTCAAGTTTTCAAGATGAAGAAATTCGGAACTTAAAATTCAGTTTTCTAAAATTCAATCTCAAATATTCAAACTCAAAAATTCAGATCTTACAGAAAGTAGGTCACAGGTCATCCACGGGGAAGAGTAGATGATCTCAGAAAAGTCGAACAGAGCATTTTGGCCAATTCGCCTTTGGCTAAGCCACACCCTAGAATGTAGATTGACCAATCACAGCGCAGCCAAGAACGAGCTCCCACAGAGGTCCGACACTTTTTCACAGCGCTCCATTGACTTTAACACAGGCGTCTCATATTTTTTGTCTCGGCCGGCTATTACCGTCGTAGTTTTATCAAAAATATGGTTAAACGTTGTGCCTGGGGCATTTGTAACACAGATACGCGTTTCCCAGAGAGGTTGGAGGGGTGTCCGTTTTTTTCCCTTCCCAAACCGAAGTCAAATCCTGACAAGTGTCGTCTAGCACACGCTGCTAATAAATACAACGTTATACTCGCGTAGTCCATTTGCTTTGCAATAACGATTATAGAAGTGAATAGAGACCTCCAGCTTTGCATGAACAGTGTTGCTCCTTGATATTGTTAGTCCCAGCCTCCGTCTCCATTAGTAGGATATGCGGTGGGTCATTTGTTGACTGTGACCGGTATGCTTTTGCCTCTATTTGGATGCCTTGTTGTTCCTTGCGTTTCACCTGTATGTCGTGAATATAGCCTTCAAACGTATATTGCAGCAGCTTTTGCCTACTTCTATCGGACACTTTATTTGCTGCTTTATAAAAGTTTGATAAAATTTCAGCAGGAAGAGCTGTTACAGCATAAGCCATGTTGATACCAGAGCCCAGATGAAGTTTGTTTGTCGGACGTAGCAACAGTAACTAAGGGGGGCGGGGCTTAGCCAAAGGCGAATTAGGGACTGCAGAAGTTTTCCAGCTCAAATGTGGTGGTGTTTCAAGAGGTAGCCACTCTCTGACTCTGATCATGAATCGTCCAGAGTGATTCTTAAACATGAATGATTTTGTGTGTATGTTAGGTAGGCTAGCGTTCTCAGCACGTGAGACATTTGTCTAATCTGTGTAAAATTGATTAGAATGCCACGTTATGATATGACGTAGCCAGCACGTGGAGACTTGTTTACGTTTTTAACCAATGATATATCAGATATTTATTTGACACCGCTTTCAGCCAATCATTTGTTTGAGCAGAGATCTCACGGCATTAGATGCTTTGCTGCTGAGTCCCAATATAGATTATAGAGCGGGGATTTTTTTTAGGCCGATTCAGCGCAACTCCAAAAAGGAGGACAAATGAGTGTCCGGCTTGAGGCTGCGCTTAAAAGGCTTAACCTGTTAAGTGTCACCCCCCTTTTTTTGAATATACATGAAAATGCACATTTCGAACTTAAATGGTTGTAATTCAAGAATGCTTTGGAATATGGATGTAAGATTGGTCTCGTTTTAAAGAAGACATTTGGCAGATTTTTATTGAAGTGAAATAAATTAAGAAAGTGAAACAGAAAAACAGTTATGGAAGTTTGAGTTTATGAAAATGTACCATGTAAAATATTTAATTATTCATATTTTATATAAAATATATATTTTCAAAACCTGGGCGACTCTAAAACTGCAAAAAAATCAAAGCCAAAAATCTGAACAAGTTGTGTTTCAAATTTTAGGTTGATATCTCAGTAAATGAGCTTTCAGTGAGAGTGTGTTTGGGCGCAGTACCGAACGCTTCCACTAGGGCACCGACTCCATCACTGCCCATATAAGGGCGCCTCCATTTTCATATGTGTTTTGAGTGATCTGAACCATTATTTCCACAATTTTCATACAATTTATGAAGTAGACATCCAATTTAGAAGTAATTTGAGAAGTTTGGCAGATTTTGATATGAATTCAACCTCTAAGAAACACGTAAAAATAACAAGTATGTGCGTTATAGCTCGCTGCCACATCACAAATGGTGAATCTATCATTTTTTTCATTAGATTTAAAAAACAAAAATTCAGACCTTTTTTTTTTAAATAATTGAATGGATGCTATCTTTTGAACTCTTGACATGAAAACAAACTGAGGTTTCTACCCTTCTTTCATGATTTTTCATGTTCATCACTATTTCAAAATAAAGGTCTAAACACACCTTAGGATGCCTTCCAAATATTTGAGGTCACTGGATTTGAGGTCAATGGATTTTGGACTTTTAATTATAAACAAGCAAGAAATACACCAGGACTCTTATTTTGAAAAGCCTATGCATTGCGTTCAGCTGCTCATCAAGAAAATGGAGATAAAATATGACAACCATCTTGCAACACATTATAATATAAACACCATAAAGTAAACATTGTCATAATTCATCAACAGTAGATAAGCAATCGCTTGAAATAAATGCGCATATTCATTGTTTGCGAATGCTCTGAAACCGCGAGCATGTGACGTTTTCACTTTGAACGTGAAGCGCTAACATTTATTTAATTAAATCATCTGCTTTTGAAGTTTAACAATCACATTAGACTGTATCACAATTCCAGTTTTTCCGTCCTGAATTCCCAAAAGACTTTTGTTTTATCATTTAAGAGATTAAAGACAAGACTAGTTCCAGACTAAAATGCATGTTTGAGCCGTTTTGACTAAAAGCAATTTGCACTGACATATCTTCAAATAAAATAAAATAAAATAATAAAATAAAATAAATAAAATAATAAAATAAAATAAAACAAAATAAAATAAAATAAAATAAAAATAAAATATTAGCATATATATATATATATATATATAAACTAAACTATAATAAAATATTATGAATTAAATCTAATATAAATTGAAATAAAAAATGCATGAACTAATTTTTTTGTTATAAAATATAATTTTATTATATATAATACATGATATATATATAAAAAAATTGACATATCTTAAAATATGTCAGTGCCATTGTTTTGTCTTAAGATGCACCAAGTAATGTTTTTTTCTAAGGCAAGTTTATAAAAGCGACTTAAATGTCCTGATTGAACTAAGGCTTAATCTAACCCTGTCTGTAAAACCAGGCCTTTAAAACTTACATTTGATTTAACTGGATTTTAGACTTTTTCAGACTTTTTTTAAGGACCCACAGGGAAGCAAAATTCAGATGGACCACAAATCCGCTTCTAGATCTCAAACAAAAAACTAAAAGTTGAGAAATAACGAATGAAAATCAGAATACATCACTCAATGAAAGCGTGGATGTACTGTGTTTATAAAGCAGCTCCAGCTATTGGAGACGATGCTAATGGAGCTTGTGTTACTGTTTTCCTTCAGCAGAAGCGTTCGGTGTTGTTCTTACAAGACTAACAACAGCTAATCGTGAAAGCCTCTTTGTTTTAGCGCTCTCAAATAGCATAACACCAAGGTCAAATGAAGTATTAAAGTATTTTTAGAGTGTTTTTCTCTACCAACAATCGATATTTTCCGATGCGGCACAGGCCTGAGCATGGCTGTGCGAACCATCACATGTAATGCGTCCTAATGGAGATCATTTTAGCCACAAGTGAGACATAATCGTAAGAAT